TGTTGGGCACTGACCGGATAGGGACGAAGACAAAATTAGGCATTGAAAGCTTGTCTTAGTTGATTTTTGAATGACGGAGTGATTTAAGTTTGTACTAACTACCGCTGCGACGATTCGCAGTGGTAAGTAAAGTCGATGAGAAGCCGGTTATGGGGAACAGAAGGGGCTAAGCGGGGACGCCAATGCCGCTGGTTTCGGTATGGGGAAGTCAGATAAGTGTGTTGTGTGTCCCGACAGGTCTACCTAATTGTTGTCGTTTTCAAAGGGGGATATCTCTCGATCGGAAAAAATATGGGATGCAGTTCTACTTAGTTTGGTTTACTTGTCTGTTTAATTGGCATCAATATCCAGACATTTTAATAGTAGGTTTCGTGGAGTTGAGGAGTGATTTGTAGAGGAAGATTTGATCGGGCATCTAACAGGTGATGTGGGATATCCTACAGTGGTTGGTATTCTGAGAAGGCGGAAACAAGAGTGTTCAGCAGTGGATATTAAAGGTGGGTGTAGCATATGGGTGACGTATCAGAGATGCGGCTTCGGTAGTGGTGACACTTATGTTTATATTTCCTCATTAAAAATCCCATTCTTGGCTTAACCAAACCGAAAAGGTCTGTTTGTGTCGGCTCCATGGAAGTTTTGTTGTCTCTCCCGGTTTGATCCGGTGGGACAAGGAGCAAACCAGTGAGAAGCACTTGACATTGTTTTTCTCTTTCAATTAAGGGAGTCATACCATAGTTTTGGTTTTCTTAGTTGTGCGTGTCTTATTCAGAAAACTACTCCATATTATTTCTATCTTTGGAGGGAGGTTTGGTGTAAATATGTTGTTATTCTTTTTAGACTGTTTTCCTGAGGCTCACACTGATGACTTCTGGTATGAGTTATTTGTGCGGTTAAAAAGAGTGCATTAGCGTCGGAAACTTTTAACCACAGAGCATGCTAATTACAATCAGGCTTTTACATGTTCTTCGGTACCTTGGAATGTACACGTATAGATGATTTTCTTCCAACTTAAGAATCATCCAAAAATTCTAATTTAAAGAGCTCATCTTTGGCGCCTGGAAATTGATCCGATACTAATTCTTCTGTCATTTGTCATACAAGTATACTAATTAGCCCAGGAACCTAACCATACTTTTCGTACCAAAGTGAACCATGGAGAGCTTGAAAAAATTATCTACTTTTTTCGTGAACAGCGCCATGTGCTCTCTAATCGTCAAATATTGGCTAAATCTTGATACTAAGTGATCGACATCTCCCGGGCTCATAGTGTCGACTGCGTAACAGAAAGATTTATAACAAATGCTGTGGAGTAAGTTTTAATTTGCTTTTCATTGCGCTGGATCACGCTGGACATAAAGTCAGAATAACCTGTGATGCCATCCCAGAGTGGGCTTTCTTCGTTAAATACGGATCTACTAGATATCACCTCACTTATGGAATAAAAAACTTCAAATCTCGACAAGACTGAGAAGAAACCAGTATTTTGGCGCAGAATGCAACCTTATGAACAGCGCATTGAGCGACTCAAAACAAAATACAGTAAAATGTTTTGTCCCGAGCACGAGCACCGCCACCTGTCGTCCAATCAGTATAATCGGAGAACTCATGCACGTAAATTGAGTTTTGACCTTTGGCTCTCCAAGAATTGAACAACCGCTAAGACGCCAGTTCTCGGAACTAGCGCCAGAAATGGTGGTATTACAGAAGGTTGATATCTCCATTGAACCTGCAAGAAATAACCCGCAAGAACCGGTGAGTCATAGCCAAGTATCAAGGGGGAAACCTAGTCGCTCTGCATCTTCAGGAACCGGCCTCAGAACCGACCTCTAAAATATGTAACGCTTCCTTCAATTTTCTTTCACCGGCAGGGAACTGAATACATTTTCTATACGCATAAGTATCGCATTCCGCCTCCACAGCCCCTATAAGACTGATTACAGTATCAGTAACAATGAAAATTCTCAGGATATAGCAACATAGGTATGAGTCATATGCAGACACACATATCCTCTTAAGAGTCAACATATGCGCACTACATCTAGCATTTTTCTCTGATACAGAGAGATAGACTACTGAACACATTGAGATAGTAATCCCGTTAACAAGCAAGCGGGGCTACGGACTTCAAAAGTCCTTCCAGGCAATAAGCTGAAGGCCGTGTCTGTTGAACTATTCTTCTATTGGTACCATCAATTGCAACCAGCCTCCCAAGTCCCAACGTCGATAACTCCTCCAAGTTGTACCAATATATTTCCAAGACCAAAAGCGTCCCAAACAATTGTTGTGATAGAAGAACTGGCGATATTGTTATTCTAGTCGTTCATTGCCGGGGAAACTAGGTAATCTAGAAATTGCCACAAAAGAACCCAGTGAAACCAGGACAGCACAATACATCTCCGAAATTCTCGTGTGTGCAGCAGCATTCTCGGTTCTCTGAGTCCCACACCACGTCACAAGGAGACCTTGCTGGAGTATTTTACTGCCAGTCACCTGATCGATCCATCCAGTCAGCTAGTACTAATGAATAAAACAACAGTCAGCAAGATCTGCAGATTATATCAACGCACCGTCTCCGGGAAGCCGCTATAGGCAAATGGTATAAATTGAATTCAGCCGAACTACTGCCTGCAGCTTAAAAACGCTAGCTGGTAGCAAGTAGTAATCACCATTGGACAATAATTACGACGGCGCATAAAGCTCCCTCAAGAGCTGAATATTGAAGAGTCCAACGACAGACTGGGAGCTTTGAAGGGTGATAAAAGCTTAACAGATAGGGAAATAATTATTATCTTAAATAGCCATATCCTACACAACTTAGTATGATCGACTGGCTAAGTAGAAGCAGCGGTCAGTGAAACGATACTCAAAAAATGGCTCATAAAGTTACCCGCAAAAATGCCGAGTTAAATCGAACATATCCAGGAGCAGTTTGGCTGGCCTCCCACAACATAGCACCTGGATACAGTGCAAATATTATTCGTCCGCCAGGAGACGAAAGAAAGTGCGAAGTATCTCTTCTGAGACGTGGAAATGCACCCTAATCGTATGATTTCTAGTCAGCCTTCCTGAAGGAAGCCTGAGAAACCCTGACAATATTTGATGTGCTCTATCGAGTAAAGAGGAAATATATGCAGAACGGAACAAGACAGTAATTTATGCTTTAAAAAGTTATTGTGCGAAAACACTATAAATATCACCGTGTCTATAACCTGATAAATTTGGCATCCAAGGTAAACTTTGGTCTCATCCTTCGTGAGTTGCCTAACACCAAGAGACAGACCCGTAAAAATCAAGTTAGCTCCCGTTCTCTATTGTTGGTATATTCACTTTTCTGCAGATTTTGGAACAGAGACACTGGATCTGGCAACCACAAGAGCTTAGAAGTTGCATTTCACTCTGCAGATCGTTAGGTACTGTGGCATTATCACCACCATCAAAAGAATGGAAAGCATAACCTTAGTGTTTAACGCTGATGCTTTGCTGCTGTACAACCATGATTTGTTTGAAAGTCGCATTGTGAAGAAAAGAAAAAAGATGGACATGGGAAGGGATTTAGTGCTTGCCTGCGGCAATCACTCCGGAGTGCCTACACCTCCACGCACTCATTCAGGCAATCCGGGTGGTGAGTGACGAAAATACTACAACTCCACGCACTCATTCAGGCAATCCGGGTAGTGAGTGACAAAAATGACGTCAGTGACATTGATCAGTAGTAATAACTTGCAGCATCTCCAGCCGGTCGCAATGGAGATCACGAGGTCTTTATCTTGAAAGGTGAGTCGCACCGATAGCATCCAGACATTTTGTACTCTCTTTCAAACCATTATACCACATACCTGCTTTTATCACTCCCACCCAGGCACAGCAGGCAGTGCTCCATTTGGTTTGGTAGTCAAAATAGTTAGTCTGGATAGAGCAGCTTCTGGTGCCCGATACATTCTTCGGTGAACGTGCCCGGTCATGTGCTACGCATGCCGAAACACCGTCTACCGAGACGAGTGTTGTTCTCTGGATCTTCTTCAGGATGGCGCAAACCGCGAAGTGGACAGCACATGACTTGGCAGAAAGGCGTCAGAGAGATCACGAAGAGTTTGGGTGTTGTTGGTGTTGTACGCCTTCCAGGATGGGGTCTCCGTGCCCCCGCCTGTGCTTGGCTGGAGACGTTGCAAGAAATGGCGGCTAATCGATGTCAGTGGCGTTCGTGCTGCCAGTTTCTTTCAAGACTGTCTGATTGAGTGGTTGGAGGTGTAGGCACCTCGGAATGCTTGACATAGGCCAGAACCAGGTTCCCTCCCTCACCCACTCTTTCTCTTCTTTTCACCCTAGGGCTTTTATTACATTTATGTATACATATAATGTATGTAGACGACTTGCAGTTGAAAAGCATAGTTATTGAGCCCTTTGCTAAAAAAAACAGGTTCAACAGTTTAGCTATTTTATCTTCTCCAGAAATAAGACTTCTCTCGGAGTATACTATTTTTTATATTCCAGCGGTCTGTCCACTTTACAGCAGCTGTTAAATTTGTGATGGAAGAGTTGACTGTGAATTTATCGATCAGATAAGCCACCTGGTTCATAGTAAAACTTTTGTTGACAATAACCACTCCCATTTTCTTTACAGGGAGCCTAATAATAACCGGATGGAACTCCATAAAAGGTCTGACATGCAGATTGAACCTTCCATCTCTCCTGTGTCTGGTGTATGTAACGAAACCGCCGTTCGAGGTCAATTTTCTGACGATCCTCTATTATTGTCACACGGTCCGGCGCATCTTGAAGAGACACACCACGATCCGAATGTTTACATCGATAGAAATGAGTCCACTTGCGTGGGTGACTGTTACGAGTATGTTTACTAGTCCCTTTACTTTTCTTCAAAAGTGTAGAATACGTGGCGTCGGGTGCGACAAAAAATTCCACGAAACAAAAGTCATCAATGAAGTTTCATCACCGTAACTACGGGTTATGCAGCGTCTGACGTTCTTTCTGTTTACGCAGATTTGAGAGATTCGCATACTGATATCACCGAATCGGGAGATAAGCTTTGTAGAGATCACGCGACAGCGCGGAAACACAGTGCAGTGGATGGTATGTTTTCATGGGATCCAGGACATATCAGTCTTCGGCAGCAGCTGAGGAAGGCACACACACAAGCGGAGAACTTTCGATCTGATTTCGCCAGAGTGAGTACATTTGTTCCATATTTTGTTTGCTTTTATGTGTCCTCGTGGTCTTTGTGGTGTGTTGAAAATAACCAGAGTGACTTATGTTGCCGTGTTTGTGATTTCGAGTATTCTCTTCCTCTTTGGGCGAAATTACTGTTCTAGTGTTTAGGTACAAAATGAAACTGGTAGAAATTTGGGACCAGTTTCAGCCAATAAGCCTCTAGAAAGGCGAAACCATTGATGGACCGTCAAAGAGTTTTCAGAAAATTTGGAACTCCTATCTTACCAGGAGTGAATCGCGAACCACCGATAGCATGCGAGTTTTATCCTCAGTTCTTTAAATAATCCATGTGCAGTCTTTGTATTTTCTGTTGCTATAAATTCACAGATAAGCTATGTATGTGTGTATATGGGATGGAGAGAAATAGATCTCTTTGTAAAGCAAGCGAGGTGACCATCCACGCGTACAATATCTATTGTAACCGTGTACTCTTTCCATCGAACTCACACATTTTTATACCAACTGATTATCTGCTTGGCATTTTTGAGAAAAAGTGTTTTGAAGGACTCCGATAGGTGTCCAGGAGAAGACCAGATCTTTGTCCGGTGGTCTTGTTTTTTGTTTAAGGCGTAGATTTTTTAACCAGGTGGTCAAATTTTAGTTGCATCTAAGTGTTTCAAAGAGCTTTTTTGCTATACGATGAAAATGTCTAAAATGGACACTTTAGCTACAATTGTCTTGCAACTTGTCTCCTCCACGTTGGGACCTCCACTCTATAACAGCTTGTTTATCTTGATTCCGGAAACTGCCAAGGAATCGATGGGCAGCGCCAAGAAGTATGGAGAAATAGAAGAAGCCTCAGCCCTAATACTCTCCAAGAGGACAAATTTTTGAAATGAAAAGAAAAACGATCACCGCCTGGCATGGTAATGACATCCCAAGTAGTTGGGTCCAGCCAGGCATTTCGAGTACGAAGCTTAGATGTGGCGGTTACTTCGGATGCACACTCCCTGCTACCTTTGTCATGTAGTTGACAGCTGGGTTAAACATGGATGATGTGTTTACTACAACGGATTAAATTATGAACGCCGCGAGCACTCTGACAAGTTGATGAATTTTAAAACGGAGCTGTGCACTGGTTGGCTGAATGGGGAATAGTTCAAGTGACAGGACCCAACGCATTTACAAATGACCACTGAGGCAACCACATTGTCATGTCATTACGGGGGAAAGGAAGGAGGCCCTCGTTGCGGGGTCATTTATGAGAAAGTGCCAACTGAGCAGTTACAAACTAGTGGGAAGCAAAATTTCATATGTATCTTGTTTACAAAAATTGAAAATCCGTCTTCTTTTTGAACGCGTCTTCCTGAACTTTCCTGGATTTTCATTGACTCTTGCTCAAATCGAAGCAAATGCTACAAAGCGGCTCCACAAAGTCCATAGTAGATATCACTTTTCAAGAGACATGAAGCGGATTTACGGGGAAACATACTACTCGCATGCCTCCCAATCAGTAGTATCACCGTTACACGGGTAGATGGCATATTTCTCTGTATGTTGGCATTTTCTTTACCCTCATTGCTGTAAGACATCAGACCCTCAGAATATACATAAAAATGGGTTAGCATCCAACATCGACCTGAAGATAATGACGTGTTAAATATGCTATCAAGCTTTCACGTCCAAGACAACCAAACTTATTGATTTGGAACCCTCTAAGCAAACAAGGTTGACCAGTGAACTTCGGTAAACAAAACCCCTGCTAGTTGATGAAAGCTCGGAACTCGAAATGCAGCCTCCAGATCCATCTGGTAACTGGTTTGCAGCAGAGGCTTGACAATAGATGGAACGGAGCCCAATTAGGACCATACAGAAATGATTGATCCATTCCTAGAAGAAGACATGTTATGTGTTTTGTCATGCGTTCCGATAGATGTTGGCCTTCTCTGTTGTTATGTGCGTGTCATTGTGGCTGCAAGGCAACTGAAAAACTCTGTGAACGGTTGAGGACTTTGATTAGTGCTAGTCGCGCTCTTGCAGAACAGTTCTTTGAGTGTCCATAAAGGAAACTACTCACAAGGTTGCTGAAAACTCTTCGACAGCCCACGACCGGTTTTGTCCCTACAGTTCGGGCTCATCAGATAGGCGCAGTCCCCGAGTTTCCGTCAACCGTTTGTTCTACTTGAACCCAAATTGGACTGGTTTTGAGAAATACACTCACTTGTAAATCAATTTGGTTTTCACGAGAGACTCAACTGAATCTTTCGTTTATGATATTCTACGACTGAATGTGCCGCACACAGGCCGCCTCATGATTCAGTTGGCACGATTTTCAACAACCTTGTGAGCAGTTTCCCTTATGGAAATCACTGCAATATCTTGAATATCGTGCCAACGGAAACATGAGGCGGTCTGTGTGCAGCACATTCAATTGTAAAATATCATAAACGAGAGATTCAGTTGAGTGTCTCGTGAAAACCAAGTTCTTCGAGTTGCCTGGGTAAGGCTCAGTTGTACTTTCATGTAGACTCCCCTTGAGACATACTTCAACGTTTAGTTCGTCTCTTGCTCTCTATGCGCCCTCTGTACTGAGTGGTTTTTTTATATATTTGTGCTCGGTCTTGGTGATGTATCCATGAAGCTGCATCGTGTTCGAATTTGTGATGCACTTCACTAGATTTCTGCCGGCTTCTCCTCAGCAGATTGCATGAATCGTTCTTAAGATTTCACTAGACTGGGCGCGATTACTGATCAATCCTTTTGGGTGCCCCCCCCCAAGGGTGTGTAGTCACAGTGAGCATTCTGGATCGTACTCCGCTAACCAAGGCTATAATCGACGCTATCCAGAGGTTGATGAACTCCAAGCTCTGTGTCGGTGTCCCGTGGGTCGGGTTCTCCATCACGAGGCTCCGGGCTGGATCCCCATGTTCAACCTTCCACGCCAATCTCGGCAACCGAGTAGTAACCGGCCTTGGACTGATGAATTTACTTGAAAATCCATTCGCACTCAGTTGTTGAGTTCAATTGTGATTGACCCTCATCTGTACATACGACTCTTGCTTCCCACCATCGACAGCATGACATCAGTGCTCAACACCAGTACTTCACTGCCATACAACCATGATTTATTTAAAAGCCTTATTTTGAAGAAAAGAAAATAAAGGTGGACGGGGAGGGGACTTGGTGCTAGCTTACCACAACCACTCCGAGGTGCCTATACCTCCACAAACTGTTCACCAAAATTACTTTTCTTGTTTGTTTTATCTCAACATCATCAAAAACTTCCATTTCTACAATCCACAGTCGTGCCTTCAGATGATGCTTCGTCGTACAAGCAGTTGTTTCTTTCTTTCACGTACTACTTTCAATCTTAGCTGGACACGTAAATCAACAACAAGCTGGCTCAGTACAATCCTTAGATACACATCAAGTTGACGTATTTTTACTCTGAAGGACAGACTGTGTGACAACAATGCAATTACATGCCCAGTCTTCCCACATTTGTGACTGGGTACCAGAGTAACAAGTCAAGCGGGTGTTGTTTTAGTGGAAGGGCTGAGGCTGTCGGATTTCAATCTACTGCAAAAACAATTTGCTGTTGGAGCTGATGCGCCAACAAAAATGGATAGAACGCAGCACGGATTTACTTGATTTACTTATGATTTCTATCTACACGTCTACTTGATACTGTCCCGGAACAACAAAGGGCGAGTTCTTTCAACGTCTGTGTGATCTGCTCCACCAGGTCTGTTTTTGTGGTTTTAACTGGAAATGTGGATGTCCGGCCTTTGATATGGTCTTCTGCTCTGTCCGTTCCCAAGCTGATCACTTCACTGTCAGCTATGGATGGTGACCTTCTGTACTGGTCAAACTGTGCTCACTCCTCGCGTTTGTCATTAATGACTAGAGTGTCACTGCGGTTCAAGAGATGTGCAGAAGTTACTGTTTCTAAGCCGAACGTGAAGCAAATTTTTGATCCTGAGGTATTTCAACCCTATTGGAACAAGGTCTCCGCAGTCCAGTCTTGCGTCTCAGGACAGGCTCGAATGACGTTAGGCACAGCCAAGATGTGTCATTCATTCAGCTGACTTAATTCATTGCCTTCAAACTAAACGAAGCAGAACGCGCTGTATATTTTGCAACGTTGAGAAATATGGGTAGTTTGGATGCACTGCTTTTCTGTTGCAGAACTCGGTGAACTAATCGATCAGCTCTGTCCAACCCATGCGAGTCTTAAAATGACTACAGATGATGAAGGGTTAGTCTGGAGGTGCAAAGATGGACTGTGAATTATGGTGATGTGAACTTGCGTATGAGATGGAAACTGCTACTGCATCCGAAAATTTTCAGAGATTGTCTCAACGTATGCATGTGAAAGTTGTTAATCAATAAATAATAATAATGGGACTATTCATGAGGTAAACGATGCATCTTTTGTGATGGCTAAAGTGCTGAGCTGAGTGCTTTCATTCATAGCTGAGTTGGGCACCATCCCATACGACGAACGCTCCAACTTGGTTAGTTTTTATAGAGGACCAAACTGAAAAGGAGAGTAACCGATAACTTCGGACATAAAAGCGCCACGGAGTACTGGTTTCCGATAACTCTTCTTGCTGTGATACTCGCCAGATGGAACAAGCATCCTGCTCTCGAGCTGAGTACCTGATTCTTCTGGTGCCGGAGAAGGATTGCAGGATTATTGCTAAACAGTGAGGAATCAGCCTAATCTTCGTTAACAAGAAAGCACATGGCTTCTGTAATTCTATAATGTTCTATTGTGAAGCGCATACAAGCGGGGAATAAGCGGGCTTCCTAGCCGAATGGGGATGAGACTACCAAATGTTAGCCCTCCAATAGATTCCAAAACGTCGTCATCATTGTAGGTTTTATAGATATGCGTACAGTTTTCGACGTCGCTGGTCGAGCGAGATTACAGAAATTTCTATCGAGGTTTGAGGTAGCTCATACAAATGTGACCATGCTCAAGACTTCAAATCGTTACATGTCACATATACTACTAGTTTCTCGTGAGTAGACACTCTGCGGCCATCACGCTAACGGTAACATGTTAATTAGCTATTGTGGCAACGTCTGCAATCTGAGCTTCAGTAAGTGATCACAATACTGGATGAACTGGTGCACATTCTCCCAATATAAACTTGATGACTGCCTTCCAAAACAGACCTTTTCGGTACCTTGTCACGTGATTTGAAAATTCGCTAATGAAACTTGCAGTTTTTCCACTCTAGTTTGAAGATTCTTTAAGATCAGGAGAATGAGAGCAGTGTGCTGTCTAAAGGGAGACCTCAATTAATTGATTACATTGGTTTTTGAACCAAAATTCACTCCAAACTCACAATTACATTGTAGCTGAGTAACGAGCGGCGCGCCGAACAGAATGAACTTGAAAGACTGATAGACGAACTTCGAGGACAGCTTCAGGTTGATCGAAAAGAAACGTGCAACCAAGGTCAGCAAACTACCATGCAATATCCAACACTGATGCATTCCTCTCAGTCAACGTTTGATCACCTTCAAACATGTATTACTCAGCTCCTGGATGCCAACGCGGACCAAGAAAAGGCAAGTATTTGTGTCTGGTTGCGCGTATTCCCACGTACTATAAAACACTCACATCCTTGCCACCATACCTCTCTATACGATTCCACTCTACACCATACTGTGTCACACTGTAGCATACTTTACCTCATTACACTACACTACGCCACACTGTACTAAGCTATTCACAAATGCAAAGCTGACGTGACCACTGTAAGGTGCTCTACATAGGCTGGCATCAAGTGGCCCCAGTAAAGCATTCTTTGCAAAAAGAAAATAATGAAAGGGTCAGCGAGGGTGCCATTTACTAATTATAGATAGAAAGTAGCGCTTCGAACCTGTTGGACAACACAGTAAGGAACGTTAACCTAAATTGATCTGCTGTGTTGTCGTCTGTTAGGTTTGATTAATCCATGCTGTTTCGGTCCACAAGGAGCTTTTCTGATGGAAGCGTCCAATAAGAGGAATGAAAATCAACCTCGTTAAGTCGTACTGTTATCATGACCAGGACTAACAGAAAGTTCCTCAGTTAAAACGCCACATAAAGTCACATTGAATCCTACTCATGTTCAGGAAAGTGCGCACTTATTTCGCGGTTATCTCTTCTTGAACATTCCATTTTAGGTGATACACCAAACACGTGCTCGACTTGAGGAGTCCGAAAGCCGCGTTTCCAGATTAACCAACGCATTTGACCGTCTCAGTGGAATGATCAACGAAGTGATCAGCGGTCAAAGCTTTGAGGATCTCGAAGACCCGGTGCGATTGGTTGAAAACGTGGGGAGTACAATTAGGGTAGGTTGCTGTCAATTGCACGAGACAACGCTTCCGCCGCAACTATTTCCCACTTTTTCGGATGAGTAGAGCGTTAGCTATTCCCATCGGACATTCCTTTATCCAAGGCCATCCTGGAATAGAATTTTTAAGACGACTCTAGCGGAATTAGTAAATTTTGGATTGGAGAATAGTGAATCAGCATACTAATGCTTCGGACGACCGCATTAACAAGCTCTGGCTGTATTCGTGAGGACTGCCAGCAAACGAAATGATCGTGTACACTACTCCATCCTTTTGTTTGGTCCTCTGTAATAACCCTTCCTCTAATATGACGTTCACAAGTTTTCGACCATTTGGTCGTCCAGATCACGACCCCCTTGTCCAATACGACTGATTTGACCTGGAGTTTCGGGATCCTAATAGATACGGAGCGCTCGGAATTTCTGTGTACTCGATCGAATCTCAAAGATCACCCCAGTGCCTGCAAACGAAAGGCAAACTGTAATCGGAAAGGAATAAGCCCCAGAGGTCAGATGGAATTTTGACCTGAGAATTCACCAGACTCAGATCCGGATTCCGTAACCTGAAGGTCATGGATAGCAAGACCATGTCTTGCGTAGATGCAGGGTCTAAGAGATCTGTTCGTCATCCACTGGCCCTAGTTGCAAAGTCTGCGACTACCTTGGCCACCATGACTGTAGACATCTCGGAATCATACTTCATACCTCAAAAACCGCTGCCTGTTCACTATATATATATACGCGAGTTAGCCTTCAACACAGATAGACCACATGGACACCAGCTAAAGTTGATGTGGGTTAGATACTGACTGTCGGCCATTCTGAAACACCTATGTGGACTCGGATCACGCGCTTGTTCATTGCTGCCTCTCGTTTTGCGTTTTATGGCTGCGTAAATTCTGCCGTACCCTTCGGACAACAACTCTTTCGATGCTGGCTCTTACTTGTAGTTACTGTAAGTCGGTAGAATGACGCAACCAACTAGATATAGAGATGAGATCTAGAACAAATATTCCTCTTAGTCGAGAGTACGATGATACTCGACGAACTACCAGATTTCACGTAAAAAATAGCATATGGGCGGTTCGAGAAACTTCGTGGATCAGTGAAACTTCAGAAATGGATTGGGTGAGAATCTCCAGGTATATGCGTAAGCTACCCCGGCTGATACGCACAACAAGGCCAAAGGAGACTCTAGCTAACGAAATGGTCACTGATTAAAACGCTTGGCTTATCTTTCGAAAGGAAGAAAGCCTGAATCTTTGGGATGAATGCTTCCAGCAACAATTCAACTGGTCACCTAGAATGCTTGTTCGGCTTCCCGATCTGTAGTGTAGCCTCCTGAACAGTGAACTTAAAACCTCGGGTGGCTTCGGAAGTAAGCGGATACCTTTTGCTCCACAAATTTCACCTACCTATTGGTCCGAAGAAATTATATCCCCTCCATTTAAAAATAGAGGGGCTGGGCGTAAGGGTTTGTCCTAACCAACTAGGATGAACCGATAGTGGTGCCCGCAGTGTGAGTGGCAATCACAGAGCAATTAGCGTGACCCCTGTTATAACCAGACGGTAATTATCGCTTATTCTACGTTGTCTTGCGAAGGCTCCCGACAGCAGATTGAAAACAGGTTGAATGCTGACGTGTACTTAGTAACCCAACTGTCTGGCGTCACTAGAATGCATGACCTTTAACACGTATTGTGACGAGGAGCGTAACCGAACACAACCACTACTCACTACTCAAATTACAGGCGCATTTTCCCAACACTCTAACGGCGAGAATGGTAATATGCACCTGTGTGAGGTGACCGTATATCTTCTCCTCTTTCGTATTGTCGTTCTTGTCATATTTTGTAGTAGAGTGATCCTACCGCTTCCTTAGCTTACCGTGTTGTTCTAATGAGAAGGCGGGACTTCAGCATCGAAAATGACGTATTTCTGAAGGATTTAATCGAAGTAAGTGCCAGTGTATGTTGGATTGGTGGTGGAGTGGTTTCAGGTAGTTTGACCATGCTTAATTTCGTTTCATATTGGCACACAGACATTCACAACAACTTTTCCCGTTCCATTATCATTTTTTGTTGCTTTCGTCATGCACGGCGTTTTGTCCTACGTTGCCTTGTTTCTCTTTAAATGATCACCTCGCTCCTTTTTAGGCACTTAAGAGTACAAACGAAGTGCTCCTGCGCAAAACTGAGGGGCTAGAGAAACAGCTGAGAGCGTCAGAGGACAGACATAGAAGTACGATGGAACCTGTCCAGAAGGAACATACGGAACAGTAAGTCCGCAGTTCTTACTTATCTGTGGGTTGTGTGTATATAAGGCAATGTGAATAAACCTGAGTTTATGGGATTCCATTTAGCGTAAGGTGAAAGTCCTTTGCAGTCAAACCTGCCTACTTCAGCATCGCGGACACCAGCCTTAGAAATACCACTGATTCGCTGCTCTGAAAAGACCGAGTCGCACAATGGCCATGAAGTTCATTGAATCCCACCGTGTTCGCATTGTTTTGATTCGTTACGTTTCACCGCACTTTTGCAATGGGCTAAACTGTTGATGCCGTTAGCTGCCGGCAGATAAACTATGAGGAAAGCGCTGGAACTGAGCTTCTGTCGAGGTTTCTGTTTCTTTCACTTCAATATCTGGTTTCGAATTGGCTCCAATCGGGGTGCGAGATGGTTCAGTGGTTACAGCCCAAATTACCGACTCAAAGTCCGGTGGTTCGAACGCGACATCTGCATCTTCACTTCTCCTGCCTATGCTTTGACAACCCGGCAGTCTCCCAGCCCTCGTGCTTCCTTCGGATGGCATGCCAGCTAGGCATCGAAAGAACTTTACAGCTGAACGATTATTCTATCTATACTTTGCACTAATTACGACAAATGCAACCCTTCAAGCACGATGGGAATCAAGTGGTTTTCGGTCAAACAAGAGCCTCGCCGAGTCCAAATGTAGTATTTAAGATAGGATTGTTGCCACGGTCATATTGCATTTTTCCTTTGGTCGCCTCTTTCCCCTTTCCCCTTCAACTTCGTCATTGATACGATCATGGAAGACTCACTACCAGCCTCCAATGCCTGTGGGGTGAAGTGCTCCCTGGGCCTCCGCTCACAGACATCGAGTACGCAGACGACATAGCTCTTCTGGGATCTTGTCCCGTGGTAATGCAAACAATATTAAATAATTTAAATAATTCTGCCTCGCGGTTCGACATGCGCTTCACACCTGCAAAATGTAAAAACTGCTACTGCAAGACTGAGTGGGCTTGAACCCTAGCCCCATGCTTTCGGATGAACCGATTGAGGTAGTGGGTAAATTTATTTACCTGGGCAGCTGTATCAGCCCCGATGGTCTCGCGAGAGATGATATTTTCATCCGGATTGGGATGCTCAGAGCAGCTTTTGTGAACCTGCGTCATCTGTGGCGCAAGCGTGATACCAGCTTCTCTGTCAAGGATCGAGTTTGTAATGCTGCGGTGCGCTCCATATTGCTCTATGGATCATAAACCTGGGCGCTACGCGCTGAGGACGTCAAAAGACTTTGAGTGTTTGACCATCGATGTCTTCGGAGCATTGCCCGAATCTGGTGGGAACACCGGATCAGCAATTCTGAAGTAAGTCGAATGGTATTCAAGATAAATAACACCCTCGGTAGATGAACTGATCACACTGCATAGGGTGCGCTGGTTAGGCCACGTGCTGCGTATGCCAGTCGACCGACTTCTTCGAAGGGTTTCTTTCCCCTAGAACCGAGACAGGGGAGACCAATCGATGACTTGACAGCGAAGTATAAAACCCATTACTACCAAACTCGGCTGCCTTGGTCACTGCGGTCTTCCTGGATGAGGAGCCCGAGACGGGCCACATCAATGGTTAGAGACCTAGTCAGACCTGGCCCAGTCACGCCCTCAATGGCGCTCATGCATCCAAGCTATTGCCTTCAATACATAGCTCCCTTCCCAATCCCACCTCTTAACAGTCCTTCTACGGTGCTGTATTTACGCACTAATTTATCAGCTCCTGTCTTCAATGAACAGGTACCTACCCCACCTCCCCGAATCATCGGTGAACGAAACTGTGGCAGCTACAACCACTGTACGACGAGTATGCGGCTCTTATAGCTGACAATGATGATGGTACCTCGAAAGCCACACCATATCGCATCTAATGTTTCTGAACTCTTTGTCTGATTGTAAGTTTGCCATGATCTCAAAATACTACTGCGGAGGATGTGATTAGGTGACAGCTTAGTCGTACAATTTTGTATGCGTGTAGAATTACCATTTATGGGACCGTAACTACCAGCTAGAATCTGACAGAGAAAGAAATCCCAGTACGGTTTTCCGCGGACCTTGAACAATGGTCAGGTAGTTTTTGGCGTCACCAATTGGAATCTGTCATTGCGAATCAATGCGTCCCTGTATACGGTATGAAAGTTGCCCATTGAGTCGCCGAAAACATAGAATCAGGTCAACCAGACTAGTCTGCTGCTAACGGCCAGTCGCAGTTGGCATGGTGAGGGAAAACAAGCTCTGAATTGGTTGGACTGAAGTTACCACAAAAACATCAGCTGATACGGACACCACGAGGGTAAACAAAAGATCACGGCACAGGTAATCAGGTAGGAATTTCGGTTAGTCATCAGGCACGAACAATGAATGGACAGTTTTTACGTGTCCTTACTACGACTTCAACTGTAGCAACGGTTGGACTTACAGTCCTTTCTTGAGTGTCTAAGATTCGACAGCTCAAACTGCTATGGTTTTGGAAGAATCAACTCGTCTTTGGGCAATGCAACTCAACGGACTGAGGAAACACGAACTGTCCTGGAAGGGAGCGACAAAACGTTGTGAGCTCTCTCGGGGAATGGCCGCTCTATTGGAGGACAACTGGATCTCAGGAATAGTGGATGCGTAATAAACATTCTAGAAAAATGATGCTAGGAACATGAACACTTCTGGTAGAGGGACTCGACCAAGCACAAGGAAGACTTATCATTGGTGAGTGACCGCAGTTAAGACGTGGTTCTCTCAGAGCGAAATAGCTGTATTTCATTTTGATAGTAGCTGAACGGATAACTTTATTCGGTATTCCACTGGAACACAAGTGCCTGTACCGGATTATGGTAAACGACCAATGAAACGACTCGGAATTCCAGTTTGCCTACCCCGGGGTTACTCGTAGCCAAGTTTCCATTATCAAATAGTAGCTTGTAGTGGTTTTTCCTGATGTCGTTCTGACTGACATTCAGGCTTTCAGATTTGTTGCAAAGGGGAAATCTTGTTTGACTGCCAGATGGGTTTCAAAAACACTTTCTCCACAATGATTGTTTCATTGCAGTGATGGCCTTCCCGGTGCACAAGTGCTTGTTGTAACATCGTTTGTTTCTAGGCTATCGGAACAACGAGACTCGGTGCATAACGAAATATTGCACAGTGTCAAAAAGGCCGAAGCCTCAACGCTGGAAAGTGGATCACTGAGCTCAGAGGCCACTAAAACCAAAGATTCTTTTGAGGGGGAAATGGACAGAAAGTCGGAAGAAATCAAAAGATTGCTGCAACTCGAGCGACAAGATAAGTTGGTAAGCAAAAATTTCCTATTTTTTCGAAAAACCTCCATGTGCGCTGTAGTTAATTGGGTTTCGCGAATTTACATGATTGGCTGTTGAATTCTTAACCAATGCAATTTTTGATAGTTTGGGGGAAGTCTTTGGAGTTGAACGGCCAGAATTACGAAGCTTTGTAGCTGTGTACCTATTGAGCCATAACCAATCCCAACCAAGCCATGTTGGCGTGGTACTCTTGCTGTGGCTTTGCATAGGATATCAGGAAAATGGCCTTCCGAACAATTAGTCCCCCCTATAACAACAAGGAATAAAAGTGGCGCCAAGAGGAAATGCCACTAATAGAGTTTTATACTTATCCTATGGTTACTTTTGCTGTAACCTGAGCTATATTTTCTAGAAAAAAAGTACAAAAGCGTTGCAGTTCTCAAATGTTTGAAAAAATACTTCAATGGTGACAGAGGGTTGCTTACCGTTTCGGTTGATCGTGATGGATTAAGTGACCAGATTTCGGTATCGATTTGCGATCTTCACCGACTGACCCACTACAAGTGGTGTTTATCTATAACGAACAGGGTAGATTCAAACAAATCTAAGGTATTTTGTTCAAATTCACACCCTCTCGTTTGAACGGTCGTCCTTCCGTTCTGTCGTAGTGAGTCCGTCAGACCGAAGCCACCTTTAGACTCATTCTGAAATTAAGTGATTCTCTGTATCACTCAATCACCAACCGGTTGATGAATGTATTAGAACTTGTGTCCGATCCAGTCGTTCACAAGGGCCTCGGTGACAAGCTTTGACTAGTGGAAGCCATGCGAGAAATAAATGATCGTTTGAGAATTACGTTTTCTTCAGAGTTGTAGCTATTAATCACGAAAGTGCCGCTAGCAAAGGTCATGATTTTTCTTTTTTGTCATAGATATGAAGACCACTTACCAATGTTCTTTTTACGCCACTCCATTCAAGGACATTGTACAGGCGAAACTGTTACGTGGCTATAAGGTTACCTTCAAACCGACTGAAGATAGCTTTCATCGAGCACAACCAAATCGTGCCCTTGATCATGTGAAGTTTACCATAGGGTACGGAGTCGAACTGACCAGAAATGCTGATAGTTTTTTTTCGACAGTCACATTCTGAGAAGAATTTTTATTGGATCAAACATCATATCAAATTCTACAGACTTTCCTCCGATTATACAGAGTAAAAGCCACACGAAAGGTCAAAGTTCCGAGGTGGGAGACGTCTGCCCAGCGGGAACACGTGAAAATGAGTATCGATGTGACGGGACACCTTTTGCTGTAACCTGAGCTATATTTTCTAGAAAAAAAGTACAAAAGCGTTGCAGTTCTCAAATGTTTGAAAAAATACTTCAATGGTGACAGAGGGTTGCTTACCGTTTCGGTTGATCGTGATGGATTAAGTGACCAGATTTCGGTATCGATTTGCGATCTTCACCGACTGACCCACTACAAGTGGTGTTTATCTATAACGAACAGGGTAGATTCAAACAAATCTAAGGTATTTTGTTCAAATTCACACCCTCTCGTTTGAACGGTCGTCCTTCCGTTCTGTCGTAGTGAGTCCGTCAGACCGAAGCCACCTTTAGACTCATTCTGAAATTAAGTGATTCTCTGTATCACTCAATCACCAACCGGTTGATGAATGTATTAGAACTTGTGTCCGATCCAGTCGTTCACAAGGGCCTCGGTGACAAGCTTTGACTAGTGGAAGCCATGCGAGAAATAAATGATCGTTTGAGAATTACGTTTTCTTCAGAGTTGTAGCTATTAATCACGAAAGTGCCGCTAGCAAAGGTCATGATTTTTCTTTTTTGTCATAGATATGAAGACCACTTACCAATGTTCTTTTTACGCCACTCCATTCAAGGACATTGTACAGGCGAAACTGTTACGTGGCTATAAGGTTACCTTCAAACCGACTGAAGATAGCTTTCATCGAGCACAACCAAATCGTGCCCATGATCATGTGAAGTTTACCATAGGGTACGGAGTCGAACTGACCAGAAGTGCTGATAGTTTTTTTTCGACAGTCACATTCTGAGAAGAATTTTTATTGGATCAAACATCATATCAAATTCTACAGACTTTCCTCCGATTATACAGAGTAAAAGCCACACGAAAGGTCAAAGTTCCGAGGTGGGAGACGTCTGCCCAGCGGGAACACGTGAAAATGAGTATCGATGTGACGGGACACTTTTCGTGGAAGGATATATAAAAGTAACATAATCGGCTCTCTCACAAGTTTCTCCCTTAAGGACCATTTCATTGCTGAAACCACGTTCTCTAATAAAGACAATCTAAGACTGTGTTGCGTCAACTCACACCCGTATCATTTTCTATTGGGCCTACGCCGTCAATGGTGAGGAATTTTAGTGTCAGGTGTTTTGTTTAGTATCATCTGCCGATGATGGAAGATGTGAGCTGGGATTCAGTGTGGGTGCGACTCCCAAGGGCCACTGGCTTTAAATTAATAGCGGGCACTCATTTGCGAACCTGGAACCCAGCTTTCTCTCGGTATTCATGTTTCCAGGCAACTGAATGTGCTGCACCAGGCCGCCTCATGTTTCAGTCGCTACAATATTCGAGATATCGCGATACATGTGTATATTTGTAATGCACTACTCATAAGGTTGATGAATACCCGTCGACAACCCACGACCACCGGTTTCGCCCTTTTCGGTGCTCATCAGGTAGGCGCAGTCTCCAAGTTTCCGTCAACCTTATGTTCTGCTTGAAACCAAATTGCACGGATTAGCGAATATACACTCACTTGCAAACTAATTTGGTTTTTCGAGAGACTCACCTGCCAGACCACACAATCATATTAATAAGAGATCTCTATAGCGAAGGTCGTTAGATAGAAGGAGCACTGTCACCCTATAACCAATTTATTGGTCCGAAAGATTGGACCAAGCACAATTTGGGCGTCTTGTTAGTCCGCATGCTAATTTGATCGTATGCACACTTGTTCCATACCGATTTCAGCCCAGACAACCACTTCAGAACGCGCTGGACAAAGCAGAACAAGCGGCCGTCCGACTACGATGTGAACGTGATTCGGCCGTCAGCCAACAGTCCGTTCTCAGTGCAAAGCTGGAGGCTGCAGAGGTGCGCACCTGACTGTCTCTCTGTGTGTGTGTGTGTGCCTATCTGTGGTTTTGTCGCGTTGCCGTGTCTTTTTGGCCTTTGGGATATCGACTACTTGGGTCGTTTTCCTGAACACATCTCTGCAATGTGGAACTTATTGGAATGCTAATGAAACTCCGGAAATCGTTGCGTGTGTATTTATTGTCATTGTGAACACGTGTCATCCATTGCAGGCCAGGAATACGAATTGGTGTGTGCGTGTGTGCACCCGGCTAGTACGGAAACGTGTCATTTTTACCGTTTATTTTTCTTATTTTCATGGACTAGACTGCGCTGTGGATTTCCGCTTTTGTGTGTGTGTGTGTGTGAATTGGCAAACTTAGGGTCAGGTTCACAACTGCTGTACGATTCTGTTCATCCACCAAAGCTCTGGTGCAGCCTCCCTGGATGATACTTTCTTAATGTAAAAAAAAAACGGTTTGCACATCAGCTCTTGCTTTATTTCCGGTCCACAATAGAGCACTAGACTGTTAAGGAAAAGCTAACTGTGGTTGATTGCACCATTCTTCAGAGTGGCAGTCCTTGTTTGAAATCATGTTTTACCATAAACTCAATCCGACCACTACTTCAACATTAAATCTATCGATTCGCTGGGCAACAAACAAGCGGCGATTCGTACTCGGGTTTACAGGACCGCAGAAATGTGTAGTGATCCGTTATCTACGAAAGAAATGGTCCTTCGTTTTATCAAACTTGCCGTGAAAAACTCCAGCTGGTTAAACAGACGGGGATGGGCGTTGGATTAGTTTAGGTGGCCTGCGACAAAATCATGGTGTATATGCACGGTGGTGTTCTGCTGAATCCACGCTGAGTCAACAGGTCCGGCCACATTGAGTTGCCAGCTATCTGGTCCTGCCTTCATCACCACACAGAGGTAGGCTGATCTCCTGATCTGACGATTCAACGTCATGGTCAGGAGACGTCGTCCCTTAACCGTGTGGTACGTACACAAGCGTGATCCGCATGGTTTGATTCCTTCCAGACAAAGCTCACGTGACATGACACATCAGCTACAGCTATCTTCACTTTGAAAGAGGCTCGCTCCGGTAGTCAGGGGACTGTCTCGTCCAGTAAACGCCGTGTACTTTTCGGTATCTCTACTTTGTACATGTTGACACTTGCACGTAGCCTTCTACAGTCTTCAACGATGATCCATTCACCTAACCATTCACAAGTAGACAAAACTTATCCCGTGGGCGCGATACGTCTCTCATGCTGCCTTAATAGGGAATCTCGACAGGCTGACCCACGTCGTTGTTCGGAGCATCCGGCCAACTAACCGGCTCAGTCACATTTGACGGCATTCAACAGTTCAGGACGACCATTCGACGATACCCAGATGTCCTGGAAAAATGATTTTGAGCGAGTCTGAACGGAGGCACTGTGGACAACCTACATATTAGAGCCTGAGTAACAAACCCTTAATCTGCGTTCGGTATGCGGAACTCGGTCCCTGACTTCGAGAAATGTGGCCAACTAATCATATATTGCCTGCTCACGTGCTTATTTGAACTGTGAAGTTAGTTTTCCCAACTGGTCGTGACGGGACCTCATATGTTTTTGACTTGTTTTCAGACTTACATGAAAGAAGTGGAGTTTCGCTGTTCCGAGCAGCTCATGATGCAGGAACGGTTAAAACGAAAGCTCAACGAAGCCCGACAACAGAAAGCGCGTCTCCTACGAGAAGTCGCCTCATGTGTGACAGTTTTCGGTAACGTGCACGAAATGCTTGTTCAACGATTGCAATTACCCAAGAACGAATTATCTGTGAGACCCCCGGTAGCTTTTACGAAAGCTTCGGAAATCAGTATGGTTACAGAACAAGTAAGTGAGACCGGTGATGTTTTTTCATTGATGGCAAATCATTTTCTAATGGTTTCGATGGCCTGATTATTAATTCAACTTCTTTCCATCTTATGTGGCAATTACTGTCTTAGCTGCTCTACCTGGCGACACAGTTAAAACTCAAAAAGTCAGAGGAAGAAAACCGAAACAGAGTTTACGAGGAACTTGAGCAGAAAATCACCCCGAAGAATGATATCTTGGAGGAACGAACCAGGCAATCGGGTGATAATCGGAAACTCTTGGGTAAGACATATGGTGTAGATCGATCACATCCTTCTTCTACCTGTTTCTCTTGCTTGTTGTTTTCTCCTACATACAGTATTCTAACTTGGTTCACAGATGAACAGAAAGCTGATATTGATCGGATCACTTTGGAACGAGACTATTATATCGAGCTTTTGAATGAGCAGACGGAAGAACTGTTGACAATCAAGGCAGATTATCAACGTCAGTTGCGTGAGGTAGGTGATGAACGTTATGGTTATTCGTCTTTAAGCAGGAGCACGTGATAGATGTTACCGATGGTATTCTACCGAGTTTCCCTATGCCTATCACTCATCATTACTGCTTCCTAAAGGAACAGTGTCCCTCCAAACCATATGCTCTGAGGTGATTCTGTGCTTACGCACGCCAAGTAAATTTACTGAGTCTTGACCATTTCACGAGGGACCCTTTCGACTGACTGATCAGGAAATGGTATAAATGTCTTGAACGAAATATCGTGTCATTTGAAAGGCGGCCCTCACATTGCTGCAGGCCTAGAAAACGCACGTTTTCCATTATATCGAATATTTTTGGCCGTTATTGGGGACCCGATCTGTCGAAATCAATCTACCGATTCAAATACGAAGAGGTAGTGGAGCGATTCAGCGCTCGCATAGGTCGGTTAGACCAAGAGACGACCGTTCGGCACTATTCAGTTGCTCAAACGTTATTACTCCGTAACGGATGTGGTGACGCAATAGCTCCCATCAACCGGCTGCACTACATTCTAACCGCAATTCAACGTGTCAGAACTGTATCCTTCTGGTAATGCGCTACCCATAAGGTTGCTGGAAACTCCTCGACAGCCCACTACTGGTTTCACCCTTTTCGGGGCTTATCAGGTAAGCGCAGTCCCCGAGTTTCCGTCAACCTTATGTTCTACTTGAAACTAAAGTGCAGGAAATTCGCGTATATACACTCATTTGCAAACTAATTTGCTTTTCCAAGAGACTCACCTGGAGCTGAATTTCTTGGTTTTGATGTTTCCAGGCCCGGAAGCATTTCTCCTTATTTCCTTAGGTCCTCACACCTAATAGTCCCACAAAACCCTACTTTGATATCTGCTTTCACTTGCATCACTTGTATCTCTTCCTCTATTGCTCCCCCGTAGTTTTTTCAAGGACTGCACTGTATTTTACTCTCGCCTAGATGGAATAAATCCGTCAGGATCACCCTAGTTGATTGTCCGCTTGACAGACTGTACAAAAGCATTTTATTCAATCTAACTCACCATTTATGCTGAGGTCATTCAACCCCACATACATATCCAAGATTGAAGCTATTGTATATTAGAAATAGTGTGGGCCCTTATCCGCTTGCCTGTTCAAATTCAATTCAACCCACAACTTTTTCAACAGTTCGCTCTAAATATTCTCCCCTTTTTGCTACAATTGTACGTATTTTATTGTTTTTTATTTGAAATTCTTTGTATTCACTTGGTTGTTGCAAACTCGTCTACTGATGGCACACAACGTTTCTGACAGATCGCACGTCGGCCTCCGTTGAAAAACACCTTTGCGACCGCCAGCCGGTATTTAGACATCATTCCCCATAGCGCCGTCTGCGACCATCTCTTAGAGAAAACTGTCGTTCGCATGTATCGTTTTTTTGCATTTCGCTTGTTCTCTATTCATCACCTGACTTTGTAAAATGCTAGCCATGACAACAGTTACCGGGGCTAGTCATGGACGTAAGGAGTGTGACAGTGACATGAACACATTTCCGACATGAATGTAACCGAGGCAACAATTGTTTGCCCCTGGGTCTGCTGTGTCAAGCAAAACGATGTGAATACCAGCAAGTGAATGATTGCTGTTTGACTAAACAGACTGTTGGTAGCTCACGATAGTTCATTCGTTCGTGGAGCTTGGCGCCACCAGTGGGTTGTCCCAACTTCCAGTTTCAACGCGTTGATGATGTCACTTCGACTGGTGATGAAACGTTTGCTACTAAATTACTCAGCTCAGTGAACAAACCAATGGTTGTAATCGAATAGAGGAAAATCTGGACCGTACCAATTGAAGAACTAGAGCTGCTTGTGTCTCAAAACACCGTGCACAGAAAATCATGATTATTGTGCTAAAATGCCAACTGACATCAACCGCGGGCGTCACACAACCTCAGAACATTTTACAGTATGATGCCATCCGCGTGCACGTTGATCTAGGCAATCTCGTTTTCTCTGTGATCTTTTCCTAATTATGGTGAACAGATTTTGATGTGTGACTTTTTGATCTTCGGAGGATGGGGAAAGGGAGAATTCTCAACAAACGACTCTCTAGATGTGTGTGATTGGAAAAATGACCGGAAACTGCAAATGCACCCATTCCTAGGATTCCACCGTATCGAATGGAATGGAGGTGGTCGGGTTCCATCAATCCACATTCTCGAGTATTTCGTCTTGACAGATACTCATCAAGTGGGCACAGAGTGCTTAAATAGATGATCTTATGGTTCTCCAGTTTCACCATCTTGATAACAGGATCTTAATTGTCTAGATGTGACACACTAGTTATTAGATTGCTAAAAACTCTGGTAGCTCACAGCCATTCCGCTCTTCTGTTAGTCTTCCCAGGTAAGCTCAGACCATTATAAAGGAGAGATTCGGCTAGATTCTGTAGGGAGTTCATTCGAAACCGAATTCATGTGCAAATGAAGATACCGTAGGGCCATAAATGATTTACACAAAAGAGTTACTTAAATTGGGTCTCAGCTTGAATCTGAACAGCTGTTGACCAATTTAAACGAGTTCTGGGCACCATGTTTCTTGAGATAGTCTGGTTTGATTGAGAAATTCAACCGTGACCGGAAAAAAAGTTATCTCTTCTAGATGGACTTTTACCACCGAAATGTGCTCCGAATAAGAGAACTAGTACACCAAAGGTGCGACTGATAGACCCGTGGAAGATTTTAGTCTTTCAATTGATTTTGGTGGCTTGCTCTATTCCTTTTCTAAACACCGGATTTTAGACGTACCATCGTCGTTTGAAGCCATCAGTGTGTCGTCAGAAAGTGGAGCACAGCGAAGTGTCAGTGGCCGGGCACATTTGATCACCGGATCTGACCAGATTGAAAACGTTTGGGTTATACGAACATCAGTGGGATAATAATAATAACATGGCGATTCATGATAGCTTCTTGGAATAACTCTGTTTTCCCTTTTGCTCTTCTTTTTCCTGGACACTGTCCGCTGTGTATACGACGGCAGCAAAGAAGCTAGCATTTTTTTTTACAATGGTCAAGGTGCAAGTTTTGTTTCAAAGCCAGATTATGGATTATTTGGCCCAATGTAAGAACTTAGCTGCAGCAGGATGTGTCACAGACCTGCCTAGCTACTGAATATATCGCACTAAACAAAAGTGTCTAGTGAAACACCAAATTATGATTTCGTTGTAAATTACTCCGGAAACTTGTACAAACAACACCCTACTGATGTTCTATTTAAGTAGCCTAGTTCGGTTTGGTCGAAAGCTGACTGCTTGACGGCAGTTGGTTTGAATGTATATTAGTGCCTTACGCACGGCCGTTTGACTTTGCCAGTTATTCAGTCAATATATCAGTATTCCATTTTGTTCTGTCAATAAAGGACAAAGTCATGAACGAGGCACCCCACGTTCTACTTACTGTACACACCAAATATGTATTACATATTGATGGGTTTGTTTTGGCCCACCGTTATCCTGATGTTATCCACCGTCTTCGACTTCAGACTGCAAAATTGGCCCGCACAAAAGATCGCCTGGACGAGGTATGTCTTTTTACGGACTTTAATTCTCTGGCTGATGTGTGAAAACACACTGGAGTGTTGAATTTTTCTGTTGATTTCTGCGTCCAGATGTGAATTCAGTACAGTTTATCCAGTTCCCGACTATGAGATTTTTTCTCGCTAGAACTTGTGCCAAAGTTTTTTTGGAGGAGACAAGAAAATTCGGTTCGGTCCTTATTGCGACAGAATTTCCAAATGAGTGATGTGTACGAAATCATCGGTTTAGCAATTTATTACACGAAAAAAAAAAACGAATCAGTGATGCACTGTGGTCAAACTTTTCTGTCTGGATAAATCAATGCACAAGCTCTTTCCTGAAAGACAAAGAAATCCTCGAGCAGAGTCAAGTGCGAAATTTTGGACGTTTCATAGGTAGACTGTTTGGCCTGCAAACGTCCAGGGGGTGATGCTCGACGATTGCCTAGGGAGCATTTTTGTTTCAAGGTGTGGAAGACCAGAAGCTTCGCACAAAACTGGATCCCTCATTAGGGGCAAGTTTCGGCCAGAAAAAGCATGATATATATATTATCGGATGGTGAAATTGTTAACTTCTGCTTTCAGAGGGTCACAAGAACTGCGGGTGAACAGTTGAACATTATGTCTAAGATACGGCCGAGATGGTCCGGCGATTAAGGTACAAACTTACTGACTTTAAAGGTCCGTGATTCAGACCCACCCTTAGCATCTCGACTACTCCTTTCTAGGCTTGCGAAATCTGGCATTATGTCAACCTTCGTGCCTTCGTAAAATGCTGTGCCAGCTGGGATCGAAAGGGTTTTACAGCTGCGCACACTCAAATAGACAAAAGGGGAACTGTGTGCAGTGGATGACCCACTAACAAAAACACCTGTTATAAAAAGCTTCACTTAAGTAATTTTCTCACGGAAGTCCATTGGGTTATTCAACTCGGAACTACTTGCCTGAGTGAGTGTAGGCAGTTCGGAATGATTGCAGTGAACTAGCAGTTATTGCCTTTCCCGTCCACCCTTGTTCTCTTAGTCACATCAAGGCTTTTAAAACGTTCATGTTTGTACGACAGAGAAGCATCGGTGTGGAAAACTGAGGTCATTCTGACGACGACGACGATGATGATGATGATGATGATGATGATAATTCATCTCACATGCCTCAGATGGAGATCCTCGGCGATTTCCCGGAACAAGATTCGTTTGGAATCACGATGTAGGCTGCTTTCACATATGGACACTCTCGGCAAACTTGTTGACAATCATTTTGAAGGGCTCGGCTCGTCTTTTCTAAGCCTGTTACTCGTATCCTGTGAGCGACTTGGAATATTGAATGTTTTGACAAGAAAGTTCATCCAGCTAGGCACGCCAACCTTCTGGACAGAGCGGAGATGCATCGTTCGATTTACTGAAAATAGTGGCTACTTAATTCCGCTCAGTAGCTGGGTAAGTGGAAACCACGAGAACCTTTAATTGGGGTGGACGCAGCACGTCATCGGTTACCCAAACTCAATGATATTTCGACTGCTACGGAAAGTGTTCGGTTCGGGTACAAACCGGATAACATGGTACCATGATAGGGCAGCTTTTAACATCCAGTCTTGCTTTCCGACTATACTGGATAGTACTTTATACCACGTTTGCGGTCCAATGATTTGATCTAATTAAAGCGATTCCTAATTAGCTACGCACTGTTGTTTATATATTTCGATCCGGCCATTTGTTTATTTACTTACTCATATACTTGTTTTTAAACATGCTTATATCTTCTTCAGTTAACACAGCAAATTCAGTTGCTCACATGTGCGTCACCCAACGTCAAAGTGATGCATTCATGTTGTACCGAGATACCCAAACCAACGACCTTTACCAGAGAACGAAGCGCTTCGTGTTGCAACTGGACCACCTATCATCATCTCAATTCTTCAGAACACGGTAGGTTGCGTAAGAAGCCAATTTTAAACGAATAGTTGATTGGGTAATCATCCCGTTAGAGCCCACTTCATTCTAGATTTCGCGACACCTTACCCTTCGACGTGTGCAGTCCTCTGCATACCATCTTGGTTTTGACAGGAGACCTACCCGGAACTTTGTTGAATCTCGTGGTTATGATATCCTTCATAGACGGGAGATTCAGCTGGGTTCCAGGTTAGTCTACCACCAAAACCACATTGATTTACAGATTAGTGTATAAGTCAAAATTCGTTCTGTTTGCGTTCAAGATGAACAAACTTTTGACGGAATCTCTAAGATTGAGCTCATCTGATGAGGGTGAAACCTGTTATGGGCTGTCAGAGAATTTTCAGTATATTACGTTCCAGTATATTACGTCTGTACGACATTACTCTTCATCACCTTGGCTTTAGTGTACGATTCCCTGGGAAGGAAGTGACATCCTACCGCTCAGGCTGTTTCGGCCATCAAAGTTGGCCAGCTTGTCAGTAATCGAATTTCAACACTTTGTACTCCAGTGTTGAACCTAAGTAAATCTGAACTGAATAAATAATGATCTAATAGGTATTGTTAATCTGTTACTATCGCTATCATGAGAGGGGGAAACAAACCAGCAGTAGTTGCTGCGGCTTGACTACCACACAGTAATGGAAAAAGACATCTTAGTGGAGAATGAAAAAAGGAAGGTTTCGAGAATTGCTTCGGAAAGTCTTGTGTGCAAGAGTTTGCACATTCCAACAGCTTTGTGCTAAGCATGTGTGCATATTATATTCGAGTAAGGTGCTCCTGTTGGGATTGACCGAACGAACGCGTATCGGCAAAATTCCAAGTAAACTACCGCTATGTAGTTCAGCTTAGAAGTTACAGGATGGGATTGGCTCTAATGTGTCCTTCAGGGTGTGCGACTATGGGCTATCATGACCCGTCGTCCGCTGACCATTCGTCAGCGTGCGTTTTCCGTAATAAGCAAAGGTAAAGTCAAAGTAGCTGATTAGCCAAGGCGCGAACCTACTGATCGAAAAGTTTATGGTTCGACACCAACCTTCGGTTTCTTTAGGCCAAGAATGAATTTACGGTAGAAAGACGAGCGAGACAGCACTGGCTTTCAGTGCAGTCGCTGACTTTTGTGCTACTTCCATCTTTTTCAGTAGCTTAATTATAATATCGAGCCAGGTTTGCGAACTCACCGGTCATATGAGCGTTTCGTGCTTCTAAGACCTATTTAACATAATATTTCAGCTATCCACTTATCTTACGCTTGGCGACTCCGGTTGTATGGAGACCACATGAGTACATGTGCGGGTCATCCCTCCACAATATGACCACCTTAAGCAAAGGTAAAGTCAAGGTAGCTGATTAGCCAAGGCGCGAACCTACTGATCGAAAAGTTTATGGTTCGACACCAACCTTCGGTTTCTTTAGGCCAAGAATGAATCTACGGTAGAAAGACGAACGAGACAGCACTGGCTTTCAGTGCAGTCGCTGACTTTTGTGCTACTTCCATCTTTTTCAGTAGCTTAATTATAATATCGAGCCAGGTTTGCGAACTCACCGGTCATATGAGCGTTTCGTGCTTCTAAGACCTATTTCACATAATATTTCAGCTATCCACTTATCTTACGCTTGGCGACTCCGGTTGTATGGAGACCACATGAGTACATGTGCGAGTCATCCCTCTACAATATGACCACCTTAGAAGAAACTTACTGCGTTTCTAAATTCACAGTTCCCTTCCAGTTCAGTTTATCATCTACAAACGGTGTGTCAACGGTATATTGGTTCCAGCTACTACAGTGTCGATAACGGGGGAGTGGGAGGACGCGGGAGTGTGTCGTTTTTATTCGCTTCAGGAATTGAATAGGTACATACTGAAGGTTCCACAGTTCCCTTCCAGTTCAGTTTATCGTCTACAAACGGTGTATCAACGGTATATTAGTTCCAGCTACTACAGTGTCGATAACCGGGGAATGGGAGGACGTGGGAGTGTGTCGTGTTTATTCGCTTCAGGAATTGGATAGGTACATACTGAAGGCAACATCTTTGATGCATGAGCGCCACTGACTGCGGGATCGGACCACATCTGCCAGTGTCATTAACCATTGGTTAGATGAGTCCCGGGGTCCCCATCCAAGGAGGCAGCAGTTGCGACTAGTGTTTTCATAGTGCGCTGCCAGTTCATACATTGTCCACCTCTCGGTCGCTTCCACTCAGCACAGGGCTGGGCGAGAAGAGCTCTGTGAGGCACACGGTCTTCTGGCATGCAGAGCACATGTCTAACCAGCGTAACCTGTGAAGAGTGGGTAATTAACCTATCGTGAGAGAGCTCCTTCTTCCCAAGATAATCTGGTGTACCTCAGCATTACTGATCAGATGTTTTCGCCAGACCTGTCCAGTACCTTGGAGATACCGATGGTCAAACATCTTTTGTATGTCCTCTGGGTGCAGAGGCCAGGTTTCTCAACCGTAAAGCAATGCAAACTCTGACCTTGACAGACGTGGCATCGGCGCCATAGGCGTCAGAGTTTCACAAAGTTGGTAGAGTCAAAATCAGCTTCCAGATCAAGAAAAAACAATCGATGTTGGACGCGTAAAGTGGTGGCGCTGCTTAAGAATTCGTCTCAAGGTAGAGATATGGTCAATGGATCCTCGGCTAGGGCGAAATCAAGCTTGATTTTCACCAACCTGTCTCTCCCGACAATCCACCCACCTGGGCAAAATGATATCATAGAGCACCCTGGATGCGGAGGGCACCAGACTGATATCACGATAGTTTTTGCTTGGCGTTCTTGCGCCCTTTTTGAAACCTGCGATTACGGTCGAGGAGTCTCACTCGACTGCTCTTCTGTTTTCTTTCCCAGTCTTCTGCAGTATGGATGACAAAGTGTTCACCGCCGTCTTCTTTAAAAAGTGCGGGATACATACCATCTGCACCAGGTGCCTTGTCATGCCTGTATGACTGTTTTTGATGATGGGCTGGTGTCGATATTCCATTCATCCCAGCTAGATTCTTCCAGCCGTTTTGTTGAAGTAGATCAGCTGAACAGTTCTTGAAAGCGTTCAGTCCATTTTGCGAGACGACGATTGAGAGAATGAATAGCCGTTCCGTCTTCTCCGCATATTGTTTCACTGCCACCTGCCTTCTTTCGTCAAATCAGCTGAAATAGGGCGTTGTTAGCTCAGCTGTAACACCCTTTCCGTGCCTAGCTGCCATGCCACCCAAAAGAAGCTCGAGGGCTGGGATACTGCCAGGTTGCTTAAGCCTAGTCAGCAGAAATCGAGATGCAGAAGTCGGGTTCGAACCACGGACCTTCAGTAAGTTCGCGCCAAATTAATTTCGTGAACCACTGCGTGGCTCTTCGCCGCAGCGAAAGCCTCCTTCTCCTGGGCCTTCGAAATCCACCAGCGTTCTGTCCTTCCTCAAGCTCCCGATTACCTGGTGTTTGAGGGATCTACGTGCACCATCACAGTCATTAGTTGCTGGTGCGGCCTTTTGCCAGCAATAAGATCTGATTTTGAAGGTATCCAGTGTACGCAATTTTGGGGTTTTGCGGGATAGATATTTTTGTTCATAGCCACACCACTCTCGTTTGAACGGCCGTGTTCCTGTTCTGGCTTAATTATTCCGGTGGGTCCACACCAAAGGGAGGCACTGGACTCGAGTTTCGCTCTTATTAGAGCTCATCAGCAGTGCATATCCAATGGCCGTGCCGGGATTTGAACCCCGGCCATCTGACACGCGCGGCGAGCGTGTAACCGCTACTCCACCAACGCACGTTGGACGCATCTGAATTATCACGTCTGAACAGGCGGACGTGTTCACACTAGAGCGATGTGATTGGCGTGCCCGACTCATCGAACGACGACCCAGTGACTGTCCTGGTTGTGACGGTCGATTGACCCAGTCTTCATTGAGTCAAGTTAGATGGCTTTGACAAAGCTCAAAGCATTGCTTCTTTCACTCGACTCCATTCATACTCCACGCAATCTTCACCATCTACATGACCGTGCAATTCCTGTAGCTTTTTAGCCAGATCAGCTTGATACAATTGAGCTAATGAAACTTGTCGACGTTGTTGGACAGAACTGCTCTCCTTTGGCACGTTTAATGCTGACGGAAATCGAAGTGCTAAACGGGCCTGCACGACAGCATGATCAGAGTCAAGATGCGTACTCCAGAAGGGGCGACAGTTCTCAAGTAAGACTGTCCATCGGTAACTGATAGCCATATGATCCAATTGAGTCCACGACTGACTTGTGGTAGGTGGCCTCCAAGTAACTCGATGTGAGCGTCTGTGATGGCATTTCGTATTGGACAGGAACAGACGGTGATCCGTGCAGAACTGAAAAAGCCGCTCCCCATTATCCGTACGATCAGCGTCGACTTCAAATCGGTCACCTAAATGTGCTTCTTCCTGACTTACTCATCCAAATTGGGCATTCATACCACCCTCCAGGATTACTACATTCGTCCTTCTTACTGACCGGGGTAGTCGTGACAGATCTTGACAAAACTCTTTCTCCTCAGTCTCAGGTCTGCAGGCTGTTAGGGCGTATGTTGATACGGCAAATAAATACCGTTTGCCGCATCGACCTGCGTTGTTGATTGCGCAAACACGACTGTTTGCTGGGATCTAGTCCATTAAGGCGCTTACAGCCTTGGGACTGAGTTCAACTCCCACACCGTAGATACCACGAGCCATTGAGCCAGGATCACTGGATGCCCGAAGAATGAAATGTGGAACAGCTGACCTCATCCTAAGCGGCTTTAGGAGAATGACCGAACTGAGGTCTTGTGTGCGTGTTTCGGAGACACAGCATTCATCGACAGATAGGGGAAGTAAGTTTTCATCTACAGCTATCTGTTGCCCAATGTGACATAGAGCACGGACATTAAAAGCGGCAAAATGGATCAGATCTGTTTGAGTTAGTGAGTCAGTATTTGGCTTCTTATTCCGGACAATAACCTGGACACGAAACAGTGGCTAAGATACTGGCAGATGGGTACTGAATGGTACTGAATAACCAGATGAATGGAAAGGAGTTGTGGAAGAAGGTCGGTTTGTGAAGAGTTTCTCCTTGTCCAAACCGAAGAATGGGGTGGGATTTAGGTGCCCCACCCTAAGGCTTGGACTCAAAAGTCTGACCCACAAGCCAGTTGGAGGATGTCGGGTTTTGTTCGGGAACTCCGCTGCTATCCTCTGACTCATAAGTCTGGACAACAAGCGTCTTTTCGAAGAACCTTCCTCGGAGCCAGTGACTCAATATTCTGACCCACTTGGCTGTAGGCGACCGTCTTGGGTAGATGATGCAGAGAGCGTTGCATTACTGTCTCATTCCTAAAGCAGCTACCCACAACAGGTGCCTTTTGAGCAGCACCAGACTGTTTTCAAAGTTAATACGACCATGTTGAATGATGCACCGGCGGTTACGGTCGACCGTTAGGCGATTTGAGTTGGTGGTTTTTGTTGAACTTATCTAAAGCGTCCTTCCTCGGGGGAGGGCGGTATCGACACTTCCATAAATGGGGATATGCAGTGCATATTGCGTTGAGTATAGCGTTGTTAATCACAGTTTTAAAATACGATAATTTGTACTTTCTTCTTTTGGTCTCTTGAAGGCATATCTCAAGTCTACTGGAAATATCAGACCGACCTTACTCAGGTATATAAGACGATTTTTAGAAGAAAGTTTTCTTCTCACACGAAGAAAGGGCCAGTCCAGATGTTACAATGGTTAGAGACTAAGTTTGAATTGATTACATTCTCTAGTTCGTGATTTGATATCCCTTACTTACTTACAACTAAACATCTACCAACTCACGGGCTTCATAAGGACTTATCCTAGTTTTTAGCATATGAAATTCTCCGTTTGGAGGGCGAACCAATCGTGGATGCAATGTATCGTTCTTTCAATACTTCGGATTTTTGGCGCTGCTCCTTCTTTTATAGCATACGGAGGAATACGCACTTAATATTTGGACTCTTAAAGGCCGGTTTTGAACTTTGGATTGTGGTCCCTTCTTCCAATTTGCATCAACCCCTGTCATCATCATCATCATCATCGATAGCATGACATCAATGTTCAACACCGAGGTGCCTATACTTCCAGACACTCACCCAAGCGATCTGGATAGGAACTGACAACAAGAACGCCACTGACANTGTCTCCAACCAGGCACAGTGAGGATCACGCGGTCCCCATCCTGGAAGGCGAGTAGCACCGACAGCACCCAAGCGTTTCGTGATCTCCTTCATACTCTTCTGCCAACTCAAGGGTTGGCCACCTCTCTGTTTACGCCACTCTGAGTTGGGCATGGAAAACAGTACTCTCTTCGGCAAACGATGGTTCGGCATGCGTAACACATGTCCCAACCAACGCAGCTCCTGGGGCTGGACACATTCTTCAATGTAAATACCCGTTGCACAGCCGAAGACGCGCTTTCTAACTGCCTCGTTACGAATTCGCCGACACCAACCCACCATGAGCTATGGTTACGAGACAGCGATTGTCGAATACCAAAAGATGTCTCAGTTCCGCTGCTCGAATAGGCCAAGTCTCACAGCCATGCAACAAAACAGCCCTGTCATATTCTCAACAGGTGGAACAAGGGTTCAATAGTTTCGAGTTTCGGAACTGTAATCCTGGTGTGTATGAGTTTGAGGGGAAAACGTTAGCCTACGGGTCTCAGGTTGTGATGTGGCGTTTCAGTAATACTTGTCCTTAGTACAGAACGTTGGGCATCGTCAGATTTAAGAACGAGTTTTTATACTACTGATCCAGATGGGAGTAGGGGAGATAAACTTTATAATCGAATAAGGGTGAAATGACAGCGTCGCCTCAGCGAACAAGTGTCGTACAATTTCGCGGATAACGGGAAAATTCACCCACACATGGGGATGTGAGTGATAACTAACCAATATATAGTTAGACAACTGCAGGTCTCCTCGCTCCTATCTGTCCTGCCGGGCAACGGACGTGAATCGGGCGATGTATTACGCATATGTGAGAAGGAATTCGAAACATGAGTATAGTACTTTCATTCTTTGGTGCGGGCTAATCGGAATGAGGGCTCCTGGAGAGAAGGCATCCAGCCGAAGTATTCATTTTGGTTTGGTGACTTTTGCGCCGCTGACATACACACACCATTTGGTTTGGACTGCACCAAACTCACTTTACCAAGGAGGGGCGAGATAGCCTAAGCGGATTTACTGACCAGAAGGTCCGTGGTTCGACCCCGACCCTTGCCTCTCGACTTCTCCTGTCTAGGCTTGCGTTTTGCCGACCGGAAGGTCCGTGGTTCGACCCTGACTCTTGCCTCTCGACTTCCCCTGTCTAGGCTTGGGCAACCTGACCGTATCCAAGTCCTCGTGCTTCCTTCGGGTGGCATGGCAGCTAGGCACCGAAAGGGTGCTACAGCTTAACGATTTACTAAGGCTACTTACGAGATCGTTCGCCCCAAATGAAATTAGAATTTCATGAGTCTTGAACGAGGGCTGCTTCGCAATGTTCAATGGGAAATCTAAGTTCATTGTTTCGAGGGTTAGTTGCGAAGCCATCTGTGATTCATACTAACACAAAATCACACAGTCAACATCAGGTTTGCCATTTTGAATGAAATTCAACAAAGTGGAACGAGTGTAGAACGAGTTACAGCCATTAACATATTCGGCGTTTAGGTTCTACATTTCTTTTACCCCCATTCGCCCCAAAAACAGGTTTGAATTCTCATACCGCCAGCATCCCGGATGATGACAGGCGCTCCAGCTCAACTGCCTTGAACCAAGCGAAGGAGGTAGGCCAGACGCAATGATAAAATTTATAGTTTATACGGGAGCATACACTTGTCCATTGTGATATCGTATTGATTTCTTTTTGTGTGTGCATTTTTCAGTCAGCCTCGCAACAATTTCCGAAGAAGTTTCGTCCTGCTGCGGCCGAGAGTATGGCGACCAGAATGGCAAGTTTTTCGAGCAAACTTAAGGGTGAGCGATACTCATGTCCGTCTCCAGTCAGATTGTTGTTTTTCTGAGGTCTGTACAGATTGGGTTTGTGATTTAACCTGGATATTCGACTGCTTGCCTATTTACTCAATACGAAGCCCTAGTCTCGTTGTTGCCATCCTCATTGACAATAAAACCAACGTTGACGCTGAGGCATCAGTATTGAGGAAGCTAAACTTAACTTGACTGTTCAACTCAGCCGTTCACTGGATCGCGAGGCTTGTCTTTTTTCTCATACGCNGTGTATACCAAAGTACCAGTCCACCACAATCATTATGAGGTGCCTTCACCCCTGACCGAACACTCGGCTTATGTGGGCAGAAACGAAAATGCCGACATCAGTTGGCCCCCATGTTTTGCAGTTTCCAAACAAAAACATGGCTGGAAGACGGACCAGATCAGCGGTCCATAAACCTTCCATAATCTTCTTTGTGTCCTTCTGAAGAACATATTTTCTTCTCCGGGGAAGATATGGAGAACATCACTGATCTAGGTAGACGATGAGTCGGTACGATTATCGTATTGTTGACCTGTTACTGTATGCTTTCAAGGACTAGAAAAGTTGTTAGGCAACTACGCACCCACTACTTTTGTTGAGGCCATTCATATTTTTTTCGGCTTCTTCCATACGAAGTAGATCAACTACTCAAATAGTATGTAAGAGCTCCCAAAACCTCCACTAGGTCTTTCCGAATTCCGAGGATAAGTTCAAGCAATGCATTTGGAGAGCACATTCAAAAGCGTGACTTTGCACGTTGAGGCACAATGCGCGTGTCAAAAGTGCGTACGGTGTTTGTTGGACTATACGATACAGATTATGCCTATTTTCGCTTCTGAAGATTAGGGTGGCAAAGTCTGTACTGCGGTTGTCAAGAGGTACAGCATGAACACGGAAAATTTGCGGATCTTACTGTGTTGGCCGTAGTACTCCATCCGTGACAAAACTGAACAGAAATGAAGAGACACCAAATTCTCCAGAGAGGTTTTCTAGATAGATTTCGTTACAATTTCGCACGCCCAGAGAAATGTGAATTTCGGGACGGTCTTAAGCTCATGAAATTCTGAGGCATACCCTCTTCAAGTGCATTCTGAAGGACAGGCCAGTCGATGGAATCAAACCTACGCTTGAAGTCAAGGGACCCGATGATTGTGGGTTGTTTGGACCTACTGTGTGTGAACATATAGTCCAGTCCTAGTCCCGCCTGCCGCTCGCGGATCAGCATTTCACCTACCACCGTGGCGCTAGTGAAAGGAATAAGGCATTCGCTGCGGAGTTATTAGAAGGTGCCAACTGACCGGTTACAGACTTTTGGACAGGGAAGCAAAACTCTCCTTTGCATCTTATTTACAAAAACTGGACATCGATCTTCTCCTGAACGCATCTTCTTGAAGTGTCCTGGATATTCATTTACTCCAATCATTCATCGCTCAAATCCAAGCAAATCTGACAAAGCGGCTCCACAAATTCAGCAACAGATCTCTCCTTTTCAAGAGACGCAAAGCGAAATTCCACGAACAACACATACTACTCGCATGCCTCAGTAGTATCACCGTTACAATAGTAGTGTGGAAGCAACAGAAGCCCGGTATTCGCGTACACTCAGTTTTAACCTGCATCCGGTGACACATGGGGCTAGGATGAGGTTCATGCCACTCTCCGTTTCCGCATCCCCAAGAAAGCCCGATCGAATTAGAGGGAGGCAGGTGGTTCAGTTGTTCTGTAGATCGAAGTTTGTCTTCGTTAGTCAGTCTGCGATAAGATTTTTGGTATCTCGGATGGCATTGGTGGTTTGGCTCCATTGCTATCAAAGATGGCGAATGAGATATATCTGTTTGGTATTAGGCCTCGCTAAATCTGACTCCTGCGGTGCCTTCTCGGTTAGCTTTTACGCAAACAGAATTCACATTTCCGCCCGATCCAAGACTGTGGTGGAACATTTCTGCAACACTGTGCCATTCTGGTGGTGAAGTCATATCAAGTGTGCTGAGGAACACCGGGTGATTTTTAGAGATTTCATTCTCCCTCGAATGATCAACTGCTCACCTTCACAGGTTATGTTGACTGGACCGTATACTTCGAATGCGTGAGGACCGCTTGCCTCACAGAGCCCTGTTTGCCGAGCCTCCCATCGGATGGAGACGCAATCCAACATGACATGACAACGAAGCGTGAAAGCCCTTACCAGTCAACTCAGCCGTGTTAGTAACTGCCATCGCCTCGGATGTGGGCTGCGGGTATTAGTTCACAGATGGTGGTAGCCATAATACAAATCAGAAGGTATATGTGCACTAACAGAAATTTTTAGTATGGTGGACAGTGTAGGGTGCGTATAAAAATAAATACAATGTGAAATGGGAGCAAGTCAAAAAAGGGAACTTATCGGATGTGGGAGTCCCTTGGTGAAAGTCCGGACGGCGGTAACGTGTTTTCTCCGCAGTTTGGCTACTACACGTGTTCCATGATTGTCCGTGGACTTGGAGTGCTTGGGCTGACCCCTTGCTCCCTGCGTGCGCGCGAGTCTGTGTTGACTGGTTTCGGTTTCCCTTTATGTAGGTCCCAGTGCGTATGCGTGGGCGCGTCGGCACATGAGTGGTTGTTACGCTGACTAGGCGGTGCAGACAATCGATGTCCGATGAGTCAGCTTAATGCGACGTGTTTGTGCGCATGAGAAAAAAGACAAGCCTCGCGATCCAGTGAGCGACTGTGAGTTGAACAGTCAAGTATGTGGGTGACTGGGTCGCTACACGGGACAAGACAAACCAATGTACAGTGATTCTGATGGGTTTGTAGCTCAGTCACTGGCAGCCTTGCATCAAACTTCCCGCTCCCTCTCATAGAGGACACACGATTTCATTTATCGTCAGCACACAAATATGCCGTTGCGTTCAACGCGTTGCTCTCCTTCTCCTCTTCACGGTAAAAGAAACTCTTGTAGCTGACGTCACTACACTTCGGTGCAGAGGTTTTACCTGAAAAAAAACTGAGTGACTGATTGCCGACATCTTCGAGAAGAAACCGGCCTGAGGCTACCGCTGTCTTCATTGTTCTTTCTCACAGTTACACTTTAAACAATCAACTCTACTCAGGCTGCTAACTGTTTTTTCCAGTTCTACGCATTCGGTAGAGATAACGACATGCTAATTGCGCTCCTCCTGCCATATACACCCTTGTATCATGCACAACCAAGAGTATCGTGCTTGTAGTTGCCGGAAAACTGGTTTGTGATGGAAAATCACTTGCTTCAAAGAACTGAGTAGCAGTGAATACAGTGATCAGCAGACCTGCTTCAAGCAGTGTGGACCGTTTTAATTTTGATAAGTTTAACCTCACTATCACATGCCCTCGATGATCATGTGTGCAAACGTGTGCTCTGATGCACGGAGGTTGCGTGCAATCAATCAATAGCCATATGAGGTAATGAGGTGTATCAAATCAGATACTACCTAGTACACCTGAAATGAATTGCGACATCCGTCCGTTCTGTTCTCTGTGCTGGGTTTTTGCTCCCGAATAGAATAAAACACATGATGTCTCTCCTACTGAGCACTGTACCTCTTCGTCTTCATTCCAGTTATAGTCTACAAGAAGTTATCACTTTCTACTGGCGTTCCTCATTAGTAGATCCTGTGTCCGTCTTGTTACAGTCATAGTTAGGTCGCAATTGGATTCATACAACGGTCAGTTCAGCCTTTATTCAGCAATGTTCACCCTCTAGGTCGGGTTATGAATAACGATCCTGGCCTTTAGCTATTGGCGTTACGAGAAGTGGTCACCAACCGATGGCAACGACTGTCATGCTGTCATCTTGTATCCGGATCGTACAACTGAGTGTTTGAAAGTGTAGACACCTCACAGTAGTGGCAATGCCTTGATGCTGGGCCCCGTTTTTCCTAAGAGCAATCCGAAACTTCCCGGATGCTATTCTTGCTGTAACGCCTATGGTCAGCTCTATCGAAGCTGCTCACAATATGGTCAGAGATAAGACAGACAGTGAATACAGAATCAACCGTTCGGTAGATGTTCGTATTTATCGAGTGAGCAGAAGGGGGAAATAGGAACAAACAAAGACTAGAAACGGTAGTGTGAGGCTGCGAAAATTCCAAAACAAAGATGCATATTTCGTGCTAACTCACTGGCTTCTTGGTGCTTCACTTCCCCGGCTTGGCGAACAGATCAACTGCCATCAACCAACGACTAAGGTATACCTAGAGATGCGGCAGTCTGGTGGTCCCTGACTTATCAGATAAGCTTTTGATTGAACTCCAGACAGATTTTTAGTTTGGAAGCTGGAAGTTCGACTTTTTAACAGGTGACGGTTTGTAAGTCACCTATTTAGTTTATTCGCGCAGTTTGTCTACTCTAACGCTTGCATCCTTGTAAGTACATAACTGATTTACTAGGAAAGCGGAGTTTGTACTTCATTTGAGAATGTATAGGATAAGGGTTTTTTGGCTGACAAATCACTTCTGTGTCATGCACATGACTTTACAGGTGTATCTGCCAATGGGATGAATCGAGGCGCTCTGGACACAAGCGATAACTGACTGACGGTTGGGTCCAAACACTGCCGCCTAAAGACGCCCTCTGCTTTACTGCAGTAACCGACTGGGCCACATATTTTGTACTTAGGTCACCTGTTACGAGTTACTCAGGACATCGTCGGCTCTGTCATAATCAGCTTTAACACAAGTTGTAGGTAGCACAAAAGTTGAACCTGCACCAGCTTACTTTGTTTAAAGTACATACCCTGGATGGTATGGATCCACTGAAGGATTTTGCCTCGGACATTTCTTATCAGGCAGTGAGTTCCAGGCAGCCCACAAAGAACGGGAAGCCTTGAGTCTTCAGTATAACATATCTTACTTAGAACGGGTGCTGAATACCATTGAAATTTCTGTGGGACTTATCTAAGGCTGGCCAGTTCTATGAGATCACACAGCATTTGACTTGAGGAAGCAGATGTTGGTGATTTAGAGCTGTCGTGCATGTAGCTGTGACCACTTACTAACGTGTTATTACCATCCCACTGGTGCATGTTGAACGCAAGTGAATCCTCGCACTGCTCAACTTACAGACGTGTTCTCCTGCTCATGCTTGGTCGTGCAGCTACATCCAGTATGTGTTGGTGGTGAACGCCCCCCGTCGTCATCCGATGTTCAACTACGTTGACGTCCAAACGTAAGCGCTTTCGATACTCTTCAGTAGGAGCAAAACTCCAGTGTGGTTCCTCCCTCGTTAGGCTCGGACTAACCGGGATCCTCACTCGCTTTCGGTTGCGCTCCTCTGGCTGTTTTTTCTATGATTGGTGCTGTTTTGACCGCCAAGTCTCTGCTTGGGTGGTTGTCCATTGCTAGTCGCCCCATTGCGGTTCGTTCGATAACGTCTGTGAGAGTATGCGATAACTGTGCCTGTACTCACTGTCGGTTCACTGTATCTGCTTACACCCCAACAGAGTGTATCAGTCCTAATCTTGAATAAAGTTTTACAACACCCTATGTGCCTTGTTACAATGGTCCAAGAGCTCAAATATTGTCAAAGATTTAAACGCGCGACTGGATGGACTTAGCGGTGCTATTAAAACGAGCGTGAGTGGAAATGAACACTTCTGTGGTTAGGTTATGAAAGATGAACTGAGTTGTAGTCACCCCCTCTCTGTGCTCCTGATTCAATGTTGTTTGTATAATGATGGGTAACTTGTTCGGACGATCACTAATGTTTTGATTAGGCTAGAGTTTGTCTCTTCTCATGCTGTATTCAACCCGTAACTGGCAGGATTTTATCACAGTCACGTGACGACCTTCTCTACGCCTTCTACAGGATGATGGAAGCTGAAACTCACTGAAATGTCATTTCTTGTATTCGGGTATGAGAAGGGTTTCGGAATTCACGAGGTTTGTTGTGCAATACATGTGTGTCAGAAAGCGTAGCGAGTGAATTCCGATTGCAACATTGCATGTTTTTTTGAAGGAATTGCTTTCCGGGTTTCTACAGGATGATGGAAGCTGAAACTCACTGAAATGTCATTTCTTGTATTCGGGTATGAGAAGGGTTTCGGAATTCACGAGGTTTGTTGTGCAATACATGTGTGTCAGAAAGCGTAGCGAGTGAATTCCGATTGCAACATTGCATGTTTTTTTTGAAGGAATTGTCTTTCCGGGTTTGCTTACCACCTCTCTCCAGTGAATATCAGAGGCTCACAGTTTTTGTTTACTGTTGGAATCTAGACAGGCTGAAGGGGCACCTACTGGTTAAAGTCAACCAAAGCTTTTGCGACTCATCAGTTCAGATGTTCACGAGGATAGGCTGTTGGATTCTATAGTACCACCGCGGTTTCATTTCCCTACCTCACTATCGGACGTATTCCTCGAAGACATCAAGCACCCAACGTGATTGAATACTGCCGTTATCTGGTCATTAGACAGCTCTTGAGTTACGGATCTACCTGAAACAAGCTATTCAGTCATGTTAGACTCGAATACACACCTATCCCCCTTCGGCTAGTAGTCGAATTCGTTCCATGTTCGGAGCAATCATGATTTGTCAATTTGACTCAATTCTCTTTCCCCAGAGGCGACACATCCAGACAATAAAGTGAGCCTGGCTTTGCTGACATCCTAAAGGTTGCCATGCATCCTAACCGACATTAACCTAACTCTGGATTTTCGTTGTTCTTGGTTGTCTTCCCCGGCTCATAACAATGCCCTGTCAAGCTCCCATGCATGCCTTTTCATCTGCTCATTTTTTTCTTACCTTGTTCATTGGGTGCAAAATGTGTGATAAGATTACTTATTCTTCAGGACTACGGACCGCATGCCATTATTTGGAAGGTAGTTTTGTTCTCTCCCTTTCAAACAGTTAGTTTGTTTTGATGACCAAGAATTCGATCACTACTAATCGAGTATCCCATATCCACTTTTTCTCTGTTCTTAGTTGCTCAGCGTGATTTGACCAAGGCGGGGAATTCTATCCCGAACTTGTCGACTGATAGAGAGTCGCGTGAGTTTGACTTTCCTTTTTTTAGGAACGTGAAGCGAACTCTGATTTCTCAGAAACGAACGTCCCCGGTGGCTTCCGCTATTGGGAGAAACCAGTTCAAAAACCAGTAATTACTACAGTACATCATTTCGTCTCTGCGTACTTTCTCTCTCACTCACTCACACTCAAGCCAGCTGCACCCTCGATGAAGCACATCTATCAGTGAGAAAATTGTTGAGACAACTTAACTACTTGTTTTGAAATGACTTGGTTTGGCTTGACCGATGGTTTAGTTTTAGATGCACGCGAAATTACGGAGGGATCCACAGATTGAATGTGATACAGCTGAGTGATGGGATTAGGGAACATACGATAGCCGAGTTCCCAATGATCATCACTGTCTCTGATTCGTATCTAGTCAGTTCTATGGAATTTAAGCTAGCTGAAAGACCTCTAGTTCCCCAGCATTTAGGTGAAACGGATGTTTGATAGCCATTGGTTTGATTGCTGAACTGGGCAATTCGATTGCAGATCAATCGATGTAACATCATCACTGCGTTGTTAGGGGGTGGAGTGGAGTAGAGGGATGGATCAGTGATTGTGCTTTGAATGGTTGCGTGTTTATATAGGTGATACTAGTTGAGGATGACCTTCGATCACGATTGGTCGTAAAGTCGGATGATTTTATTGGTTGTTTGACCACAGGTTCAACACACTAAATCTATATGCTTAAATCACGGATATTCAGCTGCTGTAGAAACCTGCCGATTTAAACGCATCGCACCAGTGCAAAGTCACACTGTACGGTTCTTTTTGGTCGACAACTCGCGAGGAGACACCCTCTGATTGGATTACAAGAAAGTCCACATTTCTCGAATGCTAAAAGGATATCCTCACCAGCAAAAACAATGTTGAACTTTACCGTACATTGGATTGCGCAACACCGAGTGAAATTTCCTCGTGGCCTACATCACTTTACCTTTATTCATCATGCTACGCTTGGTTGAAGTGTTCATGTACCACTGTCTCACAGAATGATGGCCGTTATCGGTGATTGGATTGCGCAACACCGAGTGAAATTTCCTCGTGGCCTACATCACTTTACCTTTATTCATCATGCTACGCTTGGTTGAAGTGTTCATGTACCACTGTCTCACAGAATGATGGCCGTGACGCTATCGGTGATTCCTTTCAGTGATCTTCGAATCTACACTCGTAGTCTGCATAGGGTACTGTTTTTGGACAGGGTGCAACGAACAATCGAACACTGAACCTGGATTTTTCCTTTTCCTGGAGAACCGGCTATTTTTTTAAGGATAGTTTGTAAGGTAGTCATGCAAATTGTCATAGATCTCCGTTACTCGTTCGTGTACATTTTAGGCGAGCAAGTCAGCTTTGATCAGAAAATTTCTAGGGTTGTGAGGATTCTGGTAGACTTTATTCAGAAAGAGAGGTAAAAACACCTAAAACACACAAGGAATGGGATTAGATGTCATTCAACTTATGTAGCAACCAAGACGTTGCTTTGAGTCAATCACCTTTCGTTGTGGTTAGGATACGTGATTTGATACAAGGGGACAACCTCCTCTGGAAAAGTGAGGCTTAAACTCACAGCTTGAGATTGTTTCGGTTCACAGTGTCACTGCGAACCCACAACGTACGGCGCTCGATCCCCCCCACATCTCCTCCATGCTCGAACTCTCGAAAAGATTAGATGGGGTTGGTNCCACATAACTTGGACGAAACTGTGTGTGTGATGGTGAAGAGCGTCGTTTTCTTCATGCAATGTATGTTTCACGTGTGTGTTCCAGCACGATCGTACACGTTTATAAGAGTAAACCTGCACCCAAAACAGGTAAATAAATCTTCCATCGCTTTGGTTTTATCTCTCTGAGGTTATTTTACTTTGTTTGGTGTAAAGATGGTACCTGAGTTTCCACCTTACGTGAGCCGAGTGGATCTCGTCTTTTTCAATGCTTTCCGAACTATTGTGAAGCGCGGTTTAGAGGGAATTCAAGATGTCACCTCAAGTACAATTAAATCCTCAGTAGATTCTTAATGTATCTTTCCGTGCCAGGTAGAGATTTTTTTAGATTACCAAAGGCCAATGGTTCTGACCACAAACCATCTCATTGGCGGCAGTTCAGACCTTCGGACACACTACTCATTTGAGCTCCTTTTTGGGGATCTGATTCGAAACTTGAGATTTGGTTCCCTGTACAGTCCTCATCACTCATGGGTTCTCCATATCGGCTTTGTAGCAAAATTCCTTCCAGTACATTAAACGAGCGTCAATGGAGACCGTGAAGCATAATCCACCTGGAGCTTCGGTTTAGCTCCATCTCTCAAAGATCAGGGCCACTTTTGACATCCAGATGATACTTTTGGTCTGAAATGTCATCGGCACAGATGTCATCGGTCTTTGACCTTGGTCGTGGTATCTGGCACGACACTTGTGCTGTCATTGAGCACTGCAGGCCTGCGGCCCGATTTAGACTGTTGTACACCAGGAGGTTGGCGAAACATGTGTTGGCCGAAAGTTTTGTATGATATTAGAGAAGCCATGAATCCAGTTCTGGGTGAGTGAAGCCCTCTGCGCTTCAGTGTAAACAGCTCGGTCAGCTTTTGTCGGTGGCCTTCAAGATGCCCTTTTCTGTCCAGTTCGTCCCATAAAATGTTGATAATGATGAAGTTGGCTGTGCTCGCCAAAAGGCTACTTGTGTGCTAGTACTCGGAGTTACTCGACACATTTTTCGGGTACCGCAGTGCAGAACTGAAACTCCGCTTCAATATAAGCACTGTGCAATAGACCTCTTTAACATGTACGCTCGTTTTCCAGAAACGGCGGGACTTTTTGGACAAAACACCGGTGTCTCACCATCTCGGACACAATCACAGGCTCGTCTGAATGCAGTAGACGTTCAAAGCTTTGGTGCCGCGAATGAAAGCGTGGGTCAACAAAACATGTCAAACGTGCTTTCGCGAATGACCAAACGGAATCGTATGCTGATCAAGGTTAGTGCGGCGCCCTTTGGTAAGACTAGAACTGTTGAAGCTACAGAAAATTATTACAGACGTATTCGGGTGTCCCAAAAGAACTGTGAATTCTTAGGTTTCAGGCCCACTATTCTTCATTCTGCTTGAAACAGATATACTTTATTATCGAGAAATACACTTATTTGCAAATCATTTTGGTTTTAACGAGAGACCCAACCAAATTTCTTGTTTATAATTTTCTACAACCGAATGTGCTGCGTACAGGCCGCTTCATGTTTCAGTTGGCACGATATTCGAGATGTCGCAGTATATTTTCATAAAGGAAACTACTCACAAGGTTGCTGAAAACTCTTCAACAGTCTGTGGCCGGTTTCATCCTTCTTGAGGCTCATCAGGTAATCCCAGTTCCCGAGTTTCCGTCAACTTTATGTTCTACGTGAACCCAAGAAGGGCGAAACCGGTCGTGGTCTGTCGAAGAGTTTTCGGCAACCTTGTGAGTAGTTTTCTTTGTGAAGATATACTTTATATTTACCCACAACTTCACTTTAGAATTGTCCCGGGGTTTCCTATGACTTTTCCGTTTCGGTCGCAGTAGCCGCAAAAAAGAGTCAGTTTCGGTAGATTCATTGTGGAAACACAGAATTATTTCTCAGACTGACTGCATTCGAATCACTCCTTTGCCTTGAAAAAAGAACAAGCGAATTGCTCCATGTTAGTCTTACTGTGGGGTGGCACTTGTGAGTACTTTGGATGAGAATATTAGTGCTTCGGGTGGCCCACAAGTAGTCTTGGCTCCACAGCCATGACAAAATAACTATTCAATATCACCTAATCTCTTCAGGTCCCCAACAGTGGGGGGTCCTCGTGACCAGCGCGTCATTAAGGGGTGGATAGTCAGAGGTCCAGCTAGGCACAGAAGATGGGACCTGGGTTGGTGGTGAAACGTTTGGAATTGAGATGCAGAACTCAGTGAGCAAGGTAAAGACCAGTCTCGAGTGCCGAGCACAGCCACACGGTCGTACAAGAGAATGAGTCGTTACAGGGCGGGTCGTTACCTGGAAGAACCGACCCAATACCGGCCGCGTCGTCCTGATCCAGAGCCAACCATGGTCTGCTTCAGCAGTGTTTTACGCTAAGGAGTCCACCATTAAGCTGTCAATGGTAGTGAATACAACTCAGATAATCCGTTGCCTTCACTAAGGCGAGCTCCTGACACGTGGTAGACACATTTTAGTACCGTTCAGATTGACAAACATGGGTCTTTTGCTTGCCTGATTCCACTTGACTAGTTGCTACATCGTCGAGCACCACGAGGCTTCGTTTTTTTTTCAGAATAAAATTTTCTGTATTTCAAACTGATGATCCGCCTTTACATCTTGGCTGAAAATACATTCTTCCCAATGGTACGGTGGCTCCTCTGATGAGGAGCACACACGGGACTTGGTGAAAATCCTCCCTTCCTAGAGAAAGGGGTCAATGATACTGAACTTTTTTTGAAAAACATGATGGACCTCATGACACTTACTCATTTTTTATGGAGATATCTGTTTTCTCTGTATATTTCATGCTTCTTCTATTTCATCTGAAGTATAATCCGCACGCAACTGACGATAAACATCGTATGCAAGTAGGGACCTCAGTGCCTAAGCTGTTCCCAGCATTCTAATTATCGGCGTAGTTAGTGTTCAAAACTAGATTAAGCAACCTGAATTTTCAGTATCTTGATACTTTTACACGTCTGATTTATGAAAATAACCAATTTGTAATGAAGGAGTGAACCTACCAAATGCGGAGCACTGACACTGATGAGAATAACAATAAATGAGAAAATTATAGCAGGATTGAATTTCATGGCACCATGAAGTTGTTTGCTAGTGCGAGTCAAGTGTGCCCGAGATACACAACATCTCCGACGATATTTTCACGATACGGCAATTGTAAAGTAGTCATTTTCGACCAAAGTTTAACTTTCAGGAGGGTTGCTCCACGTTTTTTCGATCCAACCGAGTACTTCTTTTCAAAATGAAGTATGGGAACATGGTATCCTTATCCTTATCGTCGTCATCATCATCATCATCATCATCGTCATCATCATCATCATCATCATCATCTGATTACCAGCTATGGAAATAAGTTCCCATCAAATGGCTGAACTGAAAGTAGTTGGAGCACTGGTAGTGTTGACCAGAATAGCCGGATCAATCACCAGTGAGCTTATCCCCATGATGCACCTCGTGAGTTACCTTATCGTGCACAACTTTTGGGATCACACCTTTTTACAGAAAGTTTAGTTATCCAGCTTATTAGGTAGTACTGGAAATGTGCACCGGAGATAACCTGTACAACGTAAAATCGTGGCTATCGATAGCTAAATATAAATAAGTTGTCGCGCCGAATAGTGTTTGTGTTTCGTGGTGACCTTTCTGAGGGAGTATTTGGGCCAGAACTATCAAGGTTCACCAGCTCCTTTTGTGGACTCCGTGGTTAGAGCGCAAATTTACTGATCGAAATGTCCTTGGTTCGAATCCGGCCTCTGCCTCTCGACTTCACCGGTCTAGGCTTGGATAAGCTGATAGTATCTCAGCTCTCGTGCTTCCATTTGGTGACATGGCAGTTAGACATCGAAAAGAGGCTACAGCCGAAAGATTTTTTTTATTTTTTGATCAATCCCATCGTGAATTTATAAGGATCAGGGAAGGTTCTTATTGGGGAGGGGGGAAATTGTGGGACCATTTGTCACTTAACACGTTATTGCACTCTGAATGTACGATATACTGGTTGTCCGTTGAGCTTGGTACTTTTATCACAAATGTCTGGACGCCAGGTGACGTGATAAAATAGGTTCGGGTGACGGCGTGGTTGTAGTGGGCGCATTCCTGTTAAGCTACCATATGTCATCCTGTGACGAATTTGGATTTTCTGTTACAATTAGTATTTGGTCGTTTTATCCACTTCCTTAATTTCTTTACATGGTGACAATAAAAGCTGTGAACAATAGAAAATGTCAAACTTTCCGTAAAGTTTGTTCATGGAGCCGTACCGCGAGAATAATTTTACCCTGTTACACATTATTCCGGTTGGATTTCTCCAGGCTAAGTTCAGCAGCCGAACTGTGTTCACTTTCTCATTGGATTATGTTCCCACCAAAAAACTCCAGAGATATCCCAAATCGGTTTATTGATTTACCTTTGCATTGCATCCAGGCCACCTGCAACTCGCTCTGGTGGCTGGCTCTCACTCGATAGGACACGTGACTCCATCGGTTGAGTATTCAAATCACGTGTCCAGTCACAGCTGATTAGGGTACAGGCAGCTGAGGCTCCCGTGATAGTTGATGTTAAATCTTCGTGAAACTATACCCTTATTTTCTGAGCACACGACTGCTCCTATTTGGGTGGCGAGAATAGCCAAAGTACGAAGGCATCTGATTCTCCTCAAATTAAGAACTCGTTCCATCCAAGGTGTAAGTTGGATAAATCAAGAAATATTTCAGGCCAACAAGATGAATGCGTTTAAACGGTTGATAAATTTCACTGAAATTCCCCATGGGCGCTTCACATCCGAGTTCTTGAATCTCTGTTGGAAAGTTCTGAATACTTTCTGGAAACCCCAGCTAAACTCGCCCTACTTCCACTTGAGTTCTGTACGGTTTCAAACATACTTGCCACAGATCTGATTCTTTGTAAAATCAGTTCCTGATTTGTCCAGACACTCGCCTATCTACTGCTCCGTAGTCCAAGTGTTTTTCTTGCCTGAACAACCATCGGCGTCCTTGAGTGCTTCCTAACTGTCGGTCCGTAGGGTGAAAATCTTTCCGTCTAATCTCTTCACATGACTTGGAGGCCGTAGAGTGAGAGAACACGAAGGTTGGCTGAATACCTACACGCAACGGCCTTGTCTCTCTAGCAGTCCTATTACTCACAATCAGATGAAGGGTGGAAACGAACCGGGGGAGGTCAGAAGATGACTTGAAGTATGAAAGCGATTGCCAGCGAAATTTGGTTGCCTGCATAGGGACCCCGAGATGGGACACATCAAGGGTTAGAGACATTGTTAGACATGGCTAAGTCGTGCCCTCAGTAGCACTTGTGCATCCAAGCTGTTGGCTCCGATGTATAGCTCCTTTCCCAATCCATCCAGTAAAAAGTCAACTGTATAGGCCACCGCCCCCATTACGCAGCAATCTACCCCACCTCCCAAATCATTGGTGAACGAAACTGCATCAGCTAGAACCACTGTGAGACAAGTATGCGGTTTTTGCGGTTGTCGATGATAATGATTCTTCGCTTGATCGGTCGAATACAGCGCACTTCCACTACTCGGTAGAAAAAATTTGTGAGATGACTGACTTCTTACGCATTTGTCCTCTTGCGCTTTTTTGGTTTTGTGGAGAACCGAAATTTCGTTTTCTGCGCTATGGCTAACTTGCCAAATCACATCAGTATGGGCCAATTCGATGACTCTTCGAAGTCACCGTATACACTATAGCATACCCGTCAGGTGACAAGGAGACAACAGTTCGATTGGATATTTTTTGAAAGTATTTGAAATTAGGACGAATGGATCTGCATTTCCTGTTATTTATTTGAAGTCCTGGGGTCTTCGATGGTGAGGGGTCATGGCCTTCCCCCCTCTAGAGATCCAGCTGTTCCCTGGAATACAACGAAACCCACAGTGTGAAGATGCTTCATGCTGCTAGACTTAGTTTGGAAGACCTTGTCGTCTTAGTTCTTTTATGAATGCTGCGGAGCATGGTTTTCTCCGTATGAAGTCAACCAAGTTCAACTGTCAACAGGAGATTGCATTTATCCCTTCAGGCGGGGAGAACTGTGCATCCGCGTCACATCTTGTTGGGAGCATGGTAATGGAATGCTTTCGGATGGCCAGCTTGTAAGCTATATGTAATTATTAAGGGGCATTATCACCTGTTTTCCTTCGCATAAAGCTGTGACTATCGTTTTAGATTTGTTCACTCTTGGTTTAATTGGATTTTCATGGTGCCTGGGTAACAGCCAAATGCAAAAACTGTCAACAAAGTACGTTGATGAAGATATTTGAAAGTGGCAGTGACATCCGTGAGGTGCCTCGGGTATTTGGCAAGCCAAAAGACGAATAAAGTGGACTCGTCCGGTTTCGTTGTTGAACTTCCAAACGTATCACTCCCCATTGAGCAGCCAGATGATTAATTTCTAATGCTAAAATACGGTGGGCATTAAACACGTGATCGATTGGCATTCTGTTTTTCATTTGGCTTCTGCAGACCACTCCTAACGCATAACGTAATCGCTCGATCAGGTGATCGTGTTTGTTCATTATTTTTACTGCTTGATATGCCGAACCCTTGGCTCCATTAGTGTGTCCATTGTTCGACAAATTAGCAGCCCGAAATCAACGAGGGTTCGGTACTCCTCTGAATAACTTAATTATCGATCGGTTTGCATACAGTTGTTTGACGACATGCGTCTTCTCCCACAGGAATTGGAAGACCAGACTACTTCCCACACCATGAACATGACCACGTCTAAGGATGATCCTCAAACACTGAGTTCAGTCCCACTTGTTCCATCTTCGGAGCAGGATTCGACACAACAGACCAGATTATCACACCACTACAACTCAAATAATTCGCAGGTTGAAGAAAGTTCAAAATCAAGCGCAGTTCGATCAAACCCGTTGTTAAGCAATGGAACTGAGGATAGAAGAGATGAGTACGTTTCAAACTGACTTGGTCTTTATGTTCGCGTATAGCCTAGAATTCCTTTGATTCAATTAGTTGATCGTTTTCTACTCAGTTAGAACCTTGAGGTCTTCTACGATAGAGTTAAAAGGACAAATCACCTTTCATAAACAGGCTCAGCTCAGTCCAGCGCAAGTACTGAATTCGTGCATAAATTTTTGTGTTAGTCGATACATTACCGGCAAGCATCTCAGATGGGCCTTCCTCTGAGAAGTCTTCACTCAAGAAGCCAGTCAAATGGATGTTTTGTGTGATGAATCTGTTGCCTGTCCCATCTAAGTTCAAGGCAGTCGAATTACTGACTATTCGCCCTTGCCTGGATGTTAGTACTCAGCTTCTATCCAGAAAGTTTCGGATTCCTGCGTCGTTTGGGGTTCGAGATACGTGCGCTGCTTGTGGCTTCTAAGGAAAAGAAATCAAGATGAACCTGCCGCAGAAAGTAAGAGGCTTAGATTCCTGCCTGGTTATCCAGGACTCGAGGAGCCAGGGGTGTTACCGGTTGACGAATCTTCCGAGAATATCCCGTACTAAAACTGCATAGCCGTGCGACGCTTTGAGGTGTTGCTTCATGAGCAGGTCGTTTTTTCCCAATCGTTACTTGCACTGAGTTCTCGAGCGTCATGCTAGTTAAGTTGAGAATGCTCATGGAAAAAGCTTTGCTGTCTATTTATCGATGGATTGCTTTTTCATCGATTTTTAAAGTTTACTTGGTTCTCCTTACCCGCTTTGGTCTGATCTCTGACGAAAATCCAGGCTCACACATTTCGTGTCACTGATCTCTTTGTTTTACAGGTCTCCGCACTCATTACTTAAAACTAATGTGTTTTGCACTAGCTTGACTACTGCTTGTTTTCGGCGTCTTTGTGAGGACATCATATTCCACCATGAACCTTTTCAGTATAGTTGCAGATTTGCAGAAGGCATTCCCCGGAGGTGACCGGCTCGAATCGAACGTAATGAAACGCCCAACGGACGATATGACTGATCTGGGCCTGTCCACCACAGTGTCATTGCCCTGGAGTAATTCTCAGAACCTGGGAGAAACAGGTACAGGTTAGTTATACTGGTTCAACCACACAAATATAGCGCCTTCATGCTGAATGCCGTGTTGTGGCAAAATGACCGATGACCCTAAAATCGTCCCATGTTGCTTACTTTATCGTGAATGCCTGTTGTAACTTGCTGTACAGTAGTGCAACTCTTTATCGATCCCTTGGCTTCCTGCATCGCCCACTATGATATATCAAAAGGCACGGTAGCTCTACACAGCCCTTTATGGAGACAAAGGAAAATCAGTACAACTGTATATATAGGGTAGTCACAGAGTGTTCCACAAGATCGTGCCAGAATCTCCGTGAGGGGGTGAGAAGCGTCGAGTCAAAGGTGCTTGACTTGGATTAGCTGGCATTCTAACCAATCAGGGCATGCCTTCGTTTGGCCCGTGTCCTGCACGTGACACATCCGTCCAACTGATGAGGTGTTCGGTTAATAGGGACAGCTGGCCTCCGTACAATGCCTCCGGTTGAATTGAATCTTTTGATACCCAGGCTCGTCGCTCGTACCCAGGTTCGGCGCATGTGTGAACCTACCGACACACACCTTCATGCATCGGTTTTCCTCGCTTGGATTCCTAATCTTAGCTGTTTAAGAGGTTGACCTCATTTAGTGTGCAAGGTGACGCGTCCACAAGGCACCCACTCCATTCCATCTCCACTCCATCTCCTACTCCATCCACATCTCTTTGAAGAGCCAACTTCAGCCTTTCCTCTTCTCAGGCACCTAGGGTGAAGGGCAACCATTCTCATTTCTTACTCCTCGTGTAACGGAACTATACATAAACTTTGGGCTCATGACATGGTATTTGGTCTCTACCTTTTTGTGGCTGAACAAGAGCTTCTTCGATGCGGTTACTACAGAGCATCACCTTGTTAAAGGCTTGGTTGTCGGAAAACATAGTTGTATCAGGGTTTCTATGATGATAACCTACCAATTGAGTGTGCTGCCAGTGGAATCTGTCAATCAGTTGGACCTGCGAGGTAAATTTCTTGGGTTTGGCAAACTCATTTGTTCGTTTGAAAGCCAATCGGCTGTTCTGTAATGCGTAAGGTTCCAGATAATAGGGGAGCGGAGTTCGGCAGATTATTACAGTTGGCGGACCGACACATGGAACTTTCAGTACTACTGACGCGTTATGTGCTAGTTAAGAAACAATTCGTCGGCCAACGACTCAGTAGTTATTTGTTTCTTGATTTGTGTTGGATCTGCAGACCACATTCGCCTCCGATCAGCCGTCCACCAGTTGCTATCAGTTAACATCAATCCAAAAATCTATAGACAGGAAACAGTACAATCCTACACCATTTGATAGAACCAAATCACTAATTTGGCTAACCTAGGCGTAATACGCTACTCATAAGGTTGCTGAGAGCTCTTCGACAACGCACGACTGGCTTCGCTCTTCTTGCTGCTCATCAAGTAGGCGCGGTCTCCGAGTTTCCGTCAACCTTACATTCTGCTTGAACCCAAATCGCACGAAAATCCTAAACGAGACACTCAGCTGGGTTTCAGGTGATTCTCCCGTTAGGATCAAATTTGACTAACATACTTTTTCGGAGCTACTGGTTATCACGACTGAATCGATCACAGTCAGGTTGTCGATGACACCTTCATGCCCCCAAAGCTATGAACACAATCGGCACAACTTAGTTGGATCGATCAGATAGATAGGTGCTACCTGACCAGTTTTTTTTAGCTCCACACCATCTATAACCTCCTTTTCACGTTAGTCCTTCACAGTGAATAGTTGCTTTCAGTTGGGCCAACACCTTCCTAAACAACTGTCTGTTAGTACCTGCATTCTGGTTACCTGTCATTGTGTCAGTTCGAAGAGACAGTTGGGCTGTTTCGAGAATCGTAATCCTTTTTTAGTGTCTTCTCTCATTAGTTCATTAACACTTCGGGGCGCACACATTGGTAGTAGTTTCCCGTTTTCACCAGCAGAATCATGAAGCACATAGACGTATTTAGTTTTCCGAATGAAACACCTGAGCAGTGTAACAGGCTTTTGTAAGCGCAGACTTCTCTGGTGAATCGTGTCCTGCGTAGGAGCCATTTTCTAGAGAAACCCATGTACCGTTTATTTTTGCGTCTCCTCATTGCTCAATGATTGCATTTCAGGCACAAACTCAATAAATAAAGCCTACAACAGCGTATGTTCTGAAAAAGGTTACTCGGAAAATAAAGACATGATAACGACCATCGTGGAACATCCAGAGGAACAAGCCACATCGATACCGATTTTACAGAAACTCACAGGAGAGAGAAGTCGTGGAAACGGTGTGGATGAAATCACCCTGGCGAAAATTAATGAATACCGAAGTCGCCTGTACTTTGACTGTCCGGCGATCCGAAGTGTGACACATTCGAACTCCATCGTATCCCCTGCTCCGTTGGATGTCACACGAGATCCTCTACCTGTATCACCCATCGTGAAACCTTGGAGAAGTAGACTAAAATTAAACCGGCTTCACGAATCTCCGACAGTCACTTCAGTTGTGGACGGCTCTGTCACACCCAGTAACCTACCCGGACTAAGTGAAAGCCCGACTGACCCTGTCGTGCGCGTGAGTTTTCGATTCTCATTAAACCTGTCCACATGGACGCACATGTAACGTAGCTATGCTTATTCTAGGATGACCTGGCCGGGTGACATCTCAGTTTTTATGAATAGACGCCTTTACATTTTTCAGAATCCCTATTCTCGTGAACCAGGTAGGCAGGCTTGTCGTCATTAACCTATCCCGGTGAAACCTTACCTGTCATGTCTTGTTGTCTCGATGAAGTAGTACTCTAATTCAGGATAGTGTGCTAAGAATGTTGGGTGCCGAACGTGCACTTAATATGGTTCTACTTCTGTTTATTTTTTTGACCCACTTACAAGAACATGGGCAGTTCGGACAAAACAGTACTTTTCAGACATTCTGCACTTTTCACGTAGAAGTACTATGCGAAATGTGTTTTCCAGGCTTGTCTTGTGAATTTTTTGCATCTCCTCTTGAAGCTGCGGTTGAGTTTTTGTTCAGCGGCATCAGTCCGCGCTCAAATCACCGGGATTTTTAGAAGTAAAGCTGCTTTGCCTAATGTTTCTCCACTTTGGGCGTTAGTAAAGTCTGTCGTTTCCATAATCACCTGACACATACACACAAAAAACATTTAATATTAGTTCAGTAAGCTGTATAAGCCCCGGCGGACTAGGTGGAGATGATATTATTTCTCGAATCGGAAAGACCAGGACAGCTTTTGCCAA